CCTCTGCAAAGACTGGGAAAGATTCGGTTTGGTACAGGCAGCATCATTTACCTCGATTAAATGTCAGCGATTGCAGAATGTATTAATTTTTCTCTTGTTATCATGACTATTCTGATATTATTTTCTGTCACTAATAACATAGGAAACATCTTTGTACATAAGGCTTTATTTAGTTTTGTATTTTTAATTTCTCTTCCATAAGGTAGATTTCATAGAAATAGGAAAATGCTCATTTGCTTTTCACAAAGAATTTAATGATTTTTGTTCTCTAGCAATATCTGAGGGTTCCCGGCTCAATGCACCCTGGCCAGCTTCAGCTATCATAACCTATAAACAGCTTCGTTGGAGTATAATTCATGTAAAATAAACTGCATCCATGTAAAGTGAACAATCTGATGAGTTTTGATGGCTGCACACACCTGTAAAACCACAACCACAATCAAGAAACAACGTTTTAAGGCAACCACCAACCTGCTTTTTTGTCACTATAGTTTTGCCTTTTCCGAAACGTCACGCGAACGTGATCGTACAGTATGTACCCTTTTATGCCTGATTCTCTTGCTCAGCGCGACAGTTTTGAGACTCATCTACAGCGCTGTGCGGCTCGGTGGTTTGTTTTTATTGCCAGTAAGAGTCCACCGAATGGCTACATCACGTTTCCTATGTCTGTTCTCTTGGCGTCCAACTCAGGGCTATTACGAATAAAGCGTCTGTGGACATTTGTGTACCAGCGTTTGTGTACACACATGCTTCATTTCTCTTGGGTAAGCACCTAGAAGTGGCTGAATCGTTGATAAATATATGTTTAACTTGTAAGAATCTGCCAGTGTTCCTGAGTGATATTTTCTAAGTACCAAATTTGCCCCCTTAAAATGACCACTTGTTCTTTTAATATGAAATTTTGAATAGTGGGGAGATCAGTATTTTCACCCATTTTGGTTAACCAGTTATGTTCGCCTTTCGCTCTGTTACTGTTTGGTGTTTTGTTTATCTGGTGGGGTCTTAACGCATTTTCTTTCATAACTGGCTGTGGCGTGAACTGTTTTGGATGTCACTCGTTTGCCGTGACGCCACTCCCCTGACTTTCGTGTTCCTTTTCATTGGGTTATGCTCAGGTGTGTGTGGGGCTTTGAACGTTCAGGAAGGCAGCTCTTGACCTTTGTGAGGTCTCTTCTTGCTCTTAAACTTTGAGTGTCCTGCGTGTGGAGGTGGTCTGTGTGTCCACTCTGTCCTTGTCTCTCGGGATGGCACCCACGGCCCCTTCTTGTGATCATTGTGGCAGTTCCGTGTCTTGAATGCCTCCCCCTGCCTCGCTTTGCCTTGGGTTAGAATGTGCACGCGTGTGTGTGCGTTTCCCTGACAGAGTATGGGTCTCTTCCTGCTGGGCTCGTCGTGTCGGTAGTAACATAGTGACATTAACGATAACACTTGCATGGTATTCCAGAGCTTACAGTGAGTGACGTTTTAAGCCTCGTTCCTTTCCGAGCTTGTTGGAGCCGGGTTTTCTAACGCGTGCCGGGTGCGCTGTGCAGCAGGGGCTCCGGAAGGCGGGGTGAGCGTCCCGTCTGGACTCCCTTTCCTTCTCTCTCCCCATCGCACCCTCTCAGCACACACGATAGGCCCACCCACCCGTCTGTGCAGTTGGGCGTGGATTCATTGCTTTGAGCCCTGGGGGAGCTGAGCCAGTGGGCTTTAGCCCGACGTGTCGATGTGTCGAGTGGTACTTGGGGCTTCTTTTGAAGATCTTTCTTGAGTCAGGGATCTTGTGACTGGAAGAAGGTGGCAGATCCACACTCCGTGCTCCGCGTAGGGGTGCCCAGGCTTCATTGGATGGTGGCTGGGCGACTTCCTTGCTGTGGGCACCTTAGTGAGCCTGTTTCCCATTACGTTGGGATAACTCGTTTACATGGCCAGGATTTATTGAGTGCCTGCTGTATGCCTGGCACTGTTTTGGGTGCTGAGATCTGATAGTGACCAAGACTAGCTCCTAATCCCTGGGGTGCTTTCACAAGAGGGACAGACAGGGACAGGTGAGATGATAAGGTGATGATGATAAGGGTCATGATGTCAGTAAAACAAGATAGTGTGACAGGGTGGACCTTGAGGGCACATTTACTGTGAGGTCAGGAGAGGCTCTCTGAGGAGGTGACATTTAGATTGAAACTCAATAACAGGAAGGAGTTGCCTGTGCCCAGGGCAGAGACTCGGAGGGGCGGGTGCAGTGCCCTGCGGCGGGCACGTCATTGGGAGGAGGCCACCATGGCTGGGGAGGAGCGAGGGTAGGGCACTTTGTAAGAAATCTGGATTTTGGTCTAAATTCGATGGCAGAGTTCTGAGGGGGCAGGAAAAGATCTTTAAAGATCCCGCAGGTGCCCTGTGGGCATAGGACATTAATGATAACGTCTAATAATGGTGGCTGGTGCATTCCAGTGGAGGTGTCACCCGCTTGGGTCGGGTGCTGGCCGTGAGGGTGGGGAGAAGGATTTAATGTGTGTGGCTCCTGGTGGGCTTTTGATGGCCATGTGGCTGCTGGGAGTTTCAGCTGGCAGCATACGTTGGTGGGGCCAGCCCGTGCCGTCACTGTTGTCCTCTGAGATGTTTATTGGGTGTGGCCCACAGAAGGTGTTCGGAGCAGCCTTCGTGTTAGGAGTAAATCCTGGCGGGCAGTCTGGTTCAGACCCTAGGGCCCTGCATACTTTACTCATTAACCAGGGCTGAGCTGTGAAGAGCGTTTTTAGCACTGTAAGGCGGGGACGTGGGAGCCCTGTGCGGACCCTGCCGGCAGGCCCTGGCTGGGTGTGTGGGTCTTGGAGAGCAAATATGCCCACATTTTGGGCCATCTCCACACTGCACCCCTGTAACCAGGCTCCTCAGCCTCTCCACCCGAGAGCCCCTCCTGTTTATCGCGCCCCTGGGGCGCCCGCTGCAGTTTGTGTTAATTATCTGGTTCCTTGGTTGCTGAGCGCAGCGCGTCGCGTTCCCGGAGCCCCAGTGCAGTTTCTGACAGGTCTGCAGACCTCCCAGTTTCTACCTCTGTGAACTTGGGCGTGTCCATTGACCTCGAGACAAGTCCGTTCCTCCTTCTCTGCAGTGGGGCAGTAATAGTAGACTGCTCGAGGGTTTAATGTGGCAGATGCTTAACAACCGGTAGCCAGTGCTCTTGTCATCGTCGTCACCATTATTGTCTGGGAGCCCGACGTGCCACTGCCAGGTTACTTCTATCAGCAGAGTGAAGGAGATCTCCCGAGGAAGGGCGGCGGTGGACTCTGGCCTCACGGTGGCAGGCGGTGGGGTTGTGAGCCACTGCCCTCTGCTCGTCACGGCCAGAGTTGCCTCTGTACCCACTGCGGGACCGAGGAGCCGTCGGCAAGGGCAGTCTGAGCTGGGAGTCTGCAGAACCTTCTGCTGGGCTCTTGGCTCAGAGGGAGCCAGAAGTTAAAGTTACTGGGAGAATTCGAGTTTTGTCCTGGAAAAACCCCAGTGCCTTTGTCTAACTTCAGGGGATCCGTAGTGGCGTGAATTGGGCATTGTTCGTATTAAGTGTGGCAGGAATTTAAAAAGCAAGTGACGCTTGGTTCCACCTGGTGCCCGAGAACCTGAGAGATGGCTGCCAGTCCTGCAGGCTCCCCGCCTTTGCCCCCCGAGGCTGACAAGCTGCGTTTATCTTAGGCTGACGTAGCTTGACTGAGAAGATCCTTTCTGTTTAACTCCCTTGAGAGTGGGCCGCAGGCTACCCGCAGCACAGCAGAGGGCAGAGGGCAGAGGTCGGGAGCTGGTTTGGAGCTGTGGTTCTTTGGTCAGTGGTGTGGCATAGGAAGCTAAGGCTGGGGTTTTCTGCATGTGATGTGGTCTTCCAGAGCCTGATGGCTGACCCCAGCAGGAAGGGATGGTCAGTCTCAGCAGGGACACTGAACTGCCAGTGAAGGTGAGGGAGAGTCCTGGCAGTGGCCGGCCCTTGGTTCCCCTTCTCTAAATGTAGGGAGTAAGTCGGTCCCTCTTGCACCAAAATACGAGCCCGTGGTCACAGTGATAAAGTATCACTGGGGGAGAGAGAATCCTGCAACAATTTAATATTTGGGTTTACGAGAAATGGCTCTGGAGTGTATTGAAATTTCCTTGGCTCTGTCTGGAGAGAGAGGAAACCCAGCCTTGTTGGCCGCACTGTGCCAGGCCGGGCTCTCCATCAGTGCCATTCAGTACAAGGAACCTGGGATCAGAGAGGCTACACTGCTTGCCACTGTCACAGAGCAGGTGGCAGAGCTGGAGTGGAAGCCCAGGTCTTTCCCCCCTGGAGCCTGGGGGCTTTTTCTCTTTGTGTGGGAAACATTATGATAAAGACTTATTTATTATGAATAGTGTTTGTCGTAAAAAGCAGAGTCCCCGCAAAGATCAAGTGAGAACCTGGTGTGCTCAGCGCAGGGTTGAGAGGGGCTGTGCGCAGCCTCTCTGCTTTCTGCCTGCAGCTGAAACTGGCTGGCAAAGGGGCTGCTGTTCCTTTAAGGCGGGTTCTCCGCGGGGATTGCCGCAGCCTGGGGTGGGGGTGGGGATGCGGGCTGAGGGTGGTGCCTGTCTGACGGATCCCCCTCCACAGCCCTTCTTGCTGCAGCCCAGACAGCCCCGTGACGGTCCCTCTCCTTAGGTCTTTCCGTCCCACCAAAGCTGCTGATTCATCCTCCGGCGGGAGTCGGCCCAGCTGTGGGGCTGGGAGCTGGGGCGCTGGGCTGCCGCTGGGTGGAGAGTCGGAGGGTGGAGAATTGGAGAGTCGGGTCTCCGGGGCGGGGGACCTCCCGGAGCCTCTGCGGCTGCCCTGCGGTGGGGTGGGGAGGTGGAGGGGGCTCTGGTGGCACAGAGATGCAGGTTGGAGGTGGGGCGGGGGTGCAGGAGGACAGGGCTTGGCCGAGGTCACCTGACAAGGGCCAGGTTGACGAGTCCTTTCTCGCTGACTCTGACCCCCCTCTGCAGGGTGCTTCCAGGATGACCGCATCGTCTTCTGGACCTGGATGTTCTCCACCTACTTCATGGAGAGAGGGGCTCCGCGGCAGGACGACATGCTTTTCTACGTGCGCCGGAAGCGGGCGTTCGCGGGCAGTGAGGGCGGCGCCGACCGGAGAAAGGTGAGCGATCCCCTCCCGCCCCAGCCGAGCATCCCTGTGGGGTCTTCCCTAGGCTTGCAGGGGGCTTCCTGGCAGTCCTCGCGCATATTGGGAGGGGGAACGAGGTTCCCTGAGCACCTGCCCCGTGCCAGGAGCCGCGCGGAGGTGATGGCACCTGCTAGCTGATGGCGGGATGTGCTGGGCGTGTGTTTACGTTGTTGTTAACCTTCGCCACCACCCTGAAAGGCGGTGATTACTGTTGCACCTTTGAGGACACCGCGGCCCAGAGGCTAAGTGAATGGCCACCATCTCGTAATTAGTAAGTGAGCGACAGAGCAAAGCTTCGTCCTTACAGTCCAGGGTCCTCCCGTGGGCAGTGCGATGCCCCTCCATCACTGACCCCAGACCGTGGCCCGGACAGAGTGCTGAGCCCTCTACTTCCTGATCTCCCTGGGTCCCTCCAACCACCCGACGGGGCAGATGCTCTTATCCCCTTCTACAGACGAGGACAGCGAGTGTCCAGAGGTGCCGGGACTCCTCTAAGGTGTTTCATCCACTGAATCTAAGTGTGTGAAGAGGTCACGAAACAAACTCGCACGTTTCCTTCTGTTTGTCAGAAGCTTTACTAGTTTGTACAATGTTTAAGCAACTGTGTTGCCAAGCGTGGAAACGCATGGTTTTCCTTTTAATACAAACGGTGGGGGGCCGTGGAGGCTGCTCTGGAACTTGCAGCCTGCCTAGCTCTGTGCGGGGCGCCTGGACCCGGCCCTTCCCCCGCCGTGTGCTGGCTCTCTGAGCCTGACACGTGCAGATAGGTTTGCTGCAAATGGACAGGCCTGGCTGCTGTCACAATCTGCTGCATAGGAGACACGGTGACTTCCTTGCCATGCTGGCCCTTTGCAGGCCAGTAGCCATACAGCTGGTCTGGCTGGGTGCATGACATGCAGGAAGACCCAGGGCTTGGCCTGGGTCCCCTGGCGTTTGTCTGGTGTCTGCAGCGGCCAGCCCTGTGACTATGCATTGTCACTGGGACCAGTGGGCACTGGGACCCAGAAGTGCATCACCGTGAGCCAATACCGTGTGGTAAACACAGTGATCAGAAGGAATGGGCGTGGTCAGCAGAGCCACTTTAGTGAGCTGAGTCTTGAAGGGGAAGCTGTTGGGGGCGGAGGGGTGGGGGATGGCCCCAGCGGAGGGCCTGAAAGTGTCCTGAGCGTTCAGGTGGTAGGCAGCCACTATGAGGAACACAGGAAACGAGGTGGGCGGAGCCAGATCATGGAGGACACCGAACCACGCCCAGGAGTAGGGTGTTCTCCCCAAAGCCCCAGGAAACCACCAAACCTGATACACCGAGGAGGGGTTCCTTTCAGCAAGCCCTTGGGGGTGGGTGGAGGGACTGGAGAGGGCTGGAGCAGAAGCATCAAGAGGCTGCCCAGGAGGCCGCTGGTGGTGGCCTGAACCGGGGGTAGGGATGCGGGGTGCAGACAGGTGGTCAGATAGTGCCAAGGAGTGGCCTTAACCAGCAGCGCTCAGGCAACTGAACTGGGGCAGAGGGGAGACTCCACCTGGGCCCAGGGCGGTTGCAGTGCCTGTCATAGGAGGTGACATGGAGGTGTTGAGTGTTGGGTTGAGTAGGTCGGAGGTGTCTGTGGGACGTTCAGATGGCAGTGGCTTCCAGGCAGCAAACTGCCTGTCTGAAACTCAGCAGAGGGGTCAGCAGAGAGGTTAGGGGCAGAGGTAGGGATTCGGGACGCATGGCAGCTAGGGCATGGGAGGAGGAGGGGCACGTGGAGGGGTGTCAGGAGGGGCTGGGACAGAGCTGGCCCTGGCGGGAGCAGGGAACACCGTGAGCAGCTGGCGGAGGGGGGCGGGCGGGGCTCACCCCTCTGGCCTGTTGGCATCTACTGGGAGACGAGCGTCTTTTTGCCAAATCTTGGTCTTTTCCCAAAGGCCGTCTATTGTGACCAGAGGCTCTAATGAGGACTGGCTGTGTCTGAGACACTCAGCTGTCCCTGGAATTTCAATGCCCGTAGAGGCCCCAGCTCTGGCCAGGAAGGGTTTTCTTAGCCTAACTCGGCCTAGAATTCTCTGGGAGGGGAGGCAGAAAGGAGAGGTCAGGTCTGCATCTTCCCAGAGAAGCCAGGTGGGGAGGCGAAAGGAATGGGCAGGTATGGCTCTTACCTGGGGGAAGAGAACTTCCCTGGACCCAGGACTGAGGAATTTGGAGCAGGAAGGCGCAGGGTCATGGGCAAACTCTTGTGAGGATGCGGGGGGAGGGGCAGTGTTGAGGTCAATGAGGAGAGCCTGACTCCACGGGAGAATGTGGCAGTCCAGCTAGAATGTTCCATTGAACGCCCACAGTGAGCTATGTCTAGATGCCCCTCCCAGCACTGGTTACACAGAAATGACTCAGACCTGGCCCTGTCCTCGAGGAGCCACCTAGTCTGTGACGACAGGCAGACAGCATAGCCAGTGACACACAGATCTACTGGTGCTGATTGTGGGAAGAATGGGGGAAAGTGGGAGCCCACGAAGAGAAGGAAGGAGGTGACATCTGGCTAGAGTGTCATAGGACGGAGAGTGGGGACAATGGTAGTCTGAGGACATGTGTGGAGGGACTAGTCCATGTGGAGCAGGAGGGGGTGCCAGGAGCACATATGACAGCGCCTGCCAGGGTGGGCTGTGTGGTGTCTGGCCACAGTGTATGGAGGGCAGGGGTCAGGTGGCGATTTGAGGAGACCCCATGGGCCCAGGGGGTACAGGACAGATGGGGAGGGGGAGTGGCAGCTTCCCAGGCAGCTTTCTGCCCCCATGATTCAAAAGAACAGAAAAGAAAGCCTTCTGCAGCGCCTGCGTACTGCAGGCCCTCTGCGGCAAGCCTGGGCTGCTCCCCACCCCCTTCCCATCCTGCAGCCAGCCAAGCTGGTACCCAGTCGCCATAGCAACCCGCCCAGCTTCCTGCGCTAGTGCTAGCGGGGGAGGGTGGATGGGTGGACTCGCTGCCTGTTGGTGGGATGGGGGGCAGCAGTGTGGGTGGGACAGAATGCTGGCATCCTGCCACCCTACTGCAGGACCCGAGGGACAACCTCAGAGGCTCAGTTCTTGATTAACTCTGGGTCGCATAGCTAGAGATGGAGGGGCAAGGCTGCAGTCCACGTCTGCGTTAACGCCTGCCCAGTGCAGTGGTCAGGGTGAAGACCACCAGATGCCACAGTGAGGCTGGCTCACCTCTGCCCTGCGCCCCGCAGCTGGCCGAGGCTGAGCCCGAGGTGGAGGTGGAGGTGGAGGTGTACCGGCGAGACTCCAAGAAGCTGCCCGGCCTCGGAGACCCTGACATCGACTGGGAGGAGAGTGTCTGCCTGAATCTCATCCTGCAGAAGGTACGGGCTGCAGTGGGGGCGGGGCTCCAGAGCGAGGGCCATCGGTAGGCCCCGGGGGACAGCAGAGCCTTCCACGCACCCTGCCCTGCACTCTCTTCCAGCTGGACTACGTGGTGACCTGTGCTGTGTGCACGCGTGCTGACGGTGGGGACATCCACATCCATAAGAAGAAATCCCAGGTGAGCCCTGGGGCCACGAGCCCTCAGGCCTCCCGACTGCCAGCTCAGCCCAGAAATGGCAGCCCCCTGGCTGCACAGTGTTTGTTTTGGAGAGAGAAGCACCACTCCCCTCACTTCCCTGCTCCCGAGGTGAGGGTCTGACTCCGGAAGTGCAGTCAGCTCCCGGGGTCCTATGTCCTGTGCATGAGCTCAGAACCAAGCCACCCCAAGCAGCTCTTTCCAGGGCGGCTCTGCTTCGGCATGGCTCTGAGCACTGTGACCACGGTGACCCGTGCCTTGGACAAGAGTCGAGTGGCTCTGGGCCTAGGTGCAGGGTGGGGCCTCACTTCGTCCTTAAATCTCCTTCCAGCAAGTGTTTGCATCCCCCAGTAAGCACCCCATGGACAGCAAAGGGGAAGAATCCAGGATCAGCTACCCCAACATCTTCTTCATGATCGACAGCTTCGAGGAGGTGAGCACGTCTCCCTTCAGGCAGCTCGTCAGGGGCTGCCGGAAGCCGCCCCCTCCCAGGCCTCACAGCCGTGCAGGAAGGCAGCAGGTGGCCGGGAGCCGGAGGGGTCTGGTCTCCTGCCAGTGTGGTCCCCCTTCCTCCTGATGTTGGACTTGGGGCGTGTGAGCTCTGCAACCTTGGAGCCTCAGCCTTTTCATCTGTGAAATGAGCAGTGTGATCGTCTGTCCTCCTCACCTGTCAGGGTCGGGATCAAAGGGGCCCGTGAGTGGGAGAATGCATCATAAACGCCTGCAGAAAGCGCTGCCCGGCCCAGCGGAGTCGGCGCCAGCACCTTTAAACGCTCAGTCAGCTTCTCCACACACACTGGCATGGCGTCCTGCGGTGCCAGGGGCGGGGTTTCAGGCGTGACGGGGCCATGGTTTTGTTTTAAGGTTGGGAAACCTGGGACCCAAGGCAGAAGGTGACTCGCCCGGGGAAACCCAAGGTGCTGGGAGGAACCCGGACACATGGCACTCCTCTCCACTGAGGCCCTGGTGGCGGTGCCTGTGCCATCCAGAGGCGGTCAGGCCCCAGAGGCCTCGTGAGGAAGGGAGCGTGGCTTCTGGGGTCTCCTGGATTTGGTGGTGTCTCAAAGCACCTTAGGCTCGGGGGGCTAAGTATTCCCTTCAGGCTCACAGGGCTGAGACAGAACCTGAGTCTGTGACCATGGAGCTCGGCGTCCACGCCAGCCCCTGAGAGCAGTGACTCGGGCAGGCGGCCCCTGTCAGTGCCCTGGGCCTGTGCTGGCACGCAGCTATGAGGCTCAGGGCAAGGGCAGGGCAGGTGGGGACCCTAGAACGTGGGCTGGCAGTCCTTGTCAGCTGCCTGACTCCTCAGCCTGAGGAGGTGCGATGAGGGACAGCCCTCCAAAGGCCAGTGGGGGTTACATCCTCTTCCTGTCCCCAAGTCACATGAACATCCCTTGCCAGACATGGCCCTGTGCTGCATTCAGGCTGTTTGAGCGCTGGAAGGGCTGGGTGGCCTGGTGCAGATACCTCGACCTCTGCCGCCCAGTGTTCTCAGCTGCAGAGCGGGAGTGTTCTGAGCTGTCTCCCTGCAGCCCCGAGCGAGGGCGGGGCCGTTGGCCGGAGGGCAGCTGACAGCTGCTGTCCTTGTTTCTGCCTTGCGCCCCACCCCAGGTGTTCAGCGACATGACTGTAGGGGAAGGAGAGATGGTCTGTGTGGAGCTGGTGGCCAGTGACAAAAGCAACACGTTCCAAGGGGTCATCTTTCAGGGCTCCATCCGCTACGAGGCGCTCAAGAAGGTGTATGACAACCGGGTGAGTGCAGGGCCCAGGGGAGGGCCACGGCCCTGCCTGTCCCTGCCAGCTCTGCGCCGTAGCTGCCCCTCAGCCACAGCCGGCAAGGTGGCTCAGGGCTGCTTCATGTTGCTCCTCATGGCACGGCTCAGCCCGCTCAGGCCACCGCGAGGGCGGCCGCTGACCTGGACCGGGAGGAACAGGTGGACGGCTGCTGTCCTGAGCCAGGCACCATCCGGAGGCTCTGTCCCCAGCCTGGCCCTGGGTCTGCTGTAGGCGTGGGTCATCGGGCAGCGGGTGTGGAGGGGTGTCAGCGGGGATCCAAAGTGTCCCGGCCTGGGCCTGCCTGTGGAGGGCGTGGGCTGCCCTCACGACGGCTCCTTGAGGGATGGTTGCCCGGCTGCGCCGTGTGCTCCACCGCGAGGCCCCCACAGCCCGGCTCAGGCTGGCCCCTGCCCACCCACAGGTGAGCGTGGCCGCCCGCGTGGCACAGAAGATGTCGCTTGGCTTCTACAAGTACAACAACATGGAGTTTGTGCGCATGAAGGGGCCGCAGGGCAAGGGCCATGCGGAGATGGCGGTCAGCCGTGTGTCCACTGGTGACACGTCCCCCTGTGGGACTGAAGAGGACTCCAGCCCAGCTTCGCCCATGCACGAGCGGGTAAGGGCCGCACACCTTGTGGGGAGGCTCCTGCCCCTGCCTCTGCTCCCCGGGGTCTCCCTGAGCCTTCCAGCCCCCAGTGAGGGTGTCGTCACTCCCATCTCCCCAGGGAGGAGGCCGAGGTTCAGAGGGCAGGTCACTTGCCCGGGGTCACACAGCAGGTTAGTACCTGGGCCGGAGCTTTCTGCTTCCCTGAGCTTGTTGGCCGATCCTAGCGCCTGCTTCAGTGGGCCTGCTGGGCGAGTGTGGGCCCGTGACAGGCCTCCCCCAGGGGTGAGACGGGGACAATGAAGAGCTAGCCTCCCCATGACATTGGCCGTGTGCACGGAGGCCTGAGGCCAGCAGCGGACAAGGCGGTGTGCGGCTGCGCTGTGGGGCGCCTACCACCAGCCCCGGGGCAGGGGTGAGCATTCCTGTTTACAGACCCGGGAACCCAGGGGTGCTGGGCCTGCTTGTACTACCCCAGGCCACGTGGCTCTTGTGTGACAGCACTGAGTCTTGGAGCCCTGCTCCTTCTTGGCCTTCCCTGGAGTGGGGACCCAGGTCCACGGCAGCCTTAATCCCAGAGCTTCCAGTGGGGCCAGGGCTCGGGTTGGAGAAGGTCTCCAGCCCGCTGGCAGCTTTGCCCTGCTCGGGTCTTCTAGAAGGGGCTGCTCAGAGCTGGGGGTCTTGGAGGAGGACAGGAGGACAAGTGAGCCAGCACATGGGGGCAGGGAGGCAGCCTTGCTCGGCGCATCTCCAGGAGAGGGGCTAGGGCGACACCGTGGGCCGGAGTCGGCACTGCTGCTTGCGTGACCTGGGACGAGCCCCTCTTCCTCTCTGAGCCTCAGTCTGCTCATCCAGAAACGGGGCGAAAACAACTACTCCGGCACCTGCTCGGGCCTCGGCCCTCGGGGGTGTTTCCCAGGGAGCAGCCGGCAGTGACTACGCTGCTGATCTGCTTGGGGCCATGGCCCTTCCAAACAGAAGGGATACCTTACCACCGAGATAAGGGAGAGCGCTTTACCACTTTTAATTCTGTAAAATCACGTTAACTGTGTATCTCCAGGTAGCCCGAGCGGTTTTCTTTCTCTATATCTTTTTTTTAAATGTGCGTATCTTCTGCAATGAATGTGTTTTATAAGCAGAACACAAGCGATAAATGCTATTTTTTGCAGAGATGGGTGAGAATTCCAGGCAGGGGCCTCTCTTGTCATTGGGATAGAGGTAGTTTCTACTCCTGAGCTCGTTTCTCAGATAAGGAGGCTGCTGCTTCTCCCTGGCCCTGAATTGCCCACTGAGACTCTGACAAATGTGTATGTGAAGTTCTCAATGAAAATAGGGCCCGGGCTCCGGCCTAGACAAACCCGGGTGCCCGTTCCAGCCAGCTGTTTGCTGAGCCATTACAGACATGTTACTAGACCTGCATGAGCCTTGATTTTCTCACCTGTTGAATGGGAGTGGTCACTTCGCCCTCCCAGGGTGGCTGTGGGGGGTGTCGGAGACAGCACCTATGAAAAGCCCCTGGCCCAGAATAGCAGGGAGGCCCTGGGGTCAAGTGGAGGCACTTGCCAGGGCCACACAGTTGTGGTGGCAGGGCCAGACCTCCTGGGCGCCCGTTCAGGCTCCTGCCACTTCTGTGCTCACTGTCGCTTGTTCCTCTTTTCTAGGGGGGGCGGGTCACTTGTAACCAGCGCATGACAAATGCAGATTCTGTGTGTATTGTGGTTTCTGGTGTTTGTTTTTTATCTTTTAAAAACCTTCCCTGACTTGTGGGAGGACCATCTGGAGCCAGCGGCCGCCGGGACTTTGGTGGATGTCGGAGCCGTGACGAGGAGGCGGATGGGGCTCCCGAAGTCTCGGTCCCAGCTCGTCTTGTTCCTCAGATTCTTGTTTGCATGGGGAGGAGGGAGGAGATGGGCCAAGTTCCCTCTGCCTGGAACGCCCTTCCCCCCCTTCTTCACCTGGCGAACTCCTACTCGTCCTTCAAGACCCAGCTCGAGCGGCATCTCCTCCAGGAAGCCTTCCCTGATTTCTCAGCTGTCGATCCCTTTTGCCTCTGTGCTCCCCTGTATTCTGTGCCTCCCTCTTTCTGTCTCAGCAACCGACATGCAGTCTGTAGTTGTCACTTTTGAGTCTGTCACCCCCAGAAGACTGTGAGCTCCTTGAGGGCAGGGACCAGTGTCATGTGCCTGTCCTTGGTGCTGCGCCTGCCTGGCCGTGCGTGGGTGTGGAGAATGTTTGGTGAACTGACCAGTGTGGTTAGAAGAGGAGATGGAGGCGTAGACTCCTTAGCCATAGCACGTCTGTGAAGGATTGGCGGGGAGAGGGGTGGGGACCGATCAGCCGAGAGCAGGCATTAGGGCCAGGCGCACGGCCCCGGGGCCGAAAGGCGTAGGTTGCAGTCCCAGCTGTGCCCCCGTCCTGTGGGAGACGTTGGACACGTCAAGGCCGCTGTCCGCCTTGGTTTCCTTGCTTGTCCAATGGGTCTAATGCTGGTTCCCGTCGGGTGGGTTGGGCAGTGTCCGTGGATCCGCGTGCCACGGTAGGTCCTTGAGTGGTGTCAGCGGCCGGCCTTACTTTGCGCTTGCACGATCCCCTCATCGGTGTCTGAGGCCCACGGGAGGGCAGAGCTGGCGGCCAGGCCGTGCTGCTGGCCCCTGAGCCAAAACCGTATCCCAGCGTCTGCCTAGGCCTAGACGGCCGGCCTCAGGAGGGCAGGTCGGAGCCCACAGCCCGAGGCCCCTGTGCCCCAGCCAGGAACTGCCCCCTGGAGCTCCGTATCGGGTTTAGTGTGAGGGCAGGTGGTGAGTATGCTTTGGGACCCCTGGCGGTAGGCGGGCTGCGATGGTGACTATGGCCTTTTGTCCCCAGGTGACCTCCTTCAGCACCCCCCCAACCCCGGAGCGGAACAGCCGGCCCACCTTCTTCTCCCCCTCCCTCAAGAGGAAGATGCCCAGGACCCTCATGGCGGAGATGAAGAAGTCTCACTCGGCCAACGACAGCGAGGAGTTCTTCCGGGAGGACGGCAGTGGAGGTGACGCCCTTGATGCCCAGAGTGTCCCCTGGGCCTCCAGTCTCCTCTCGTCCACTCACTCACCCGTTCACACTTAGTGGCTGCCGGGGCCCTCGCGGGGGGACGGAGCTGTGGACAGACAGACCCCCTGCCTTGAGCTCCCGCCCCGCGGTCTCTGCGTTTCGGAGGGCACGGACTCCCTGGTTGTGGTCTCCCGTCCACACACTGGGTGCCAGAAGCACTTGCAAGGGCGAGGTGGGCTCCGGTTCATTCGTGCACCTTGCGACGTCAGGCTCCGCGGTTTCGCTCCTCAGTGCCGTCCTTGGCCACCTCGCCCTCACTCTAGAACCTTCTGTGGGGTGTCCCTCAGGGTCTCCCGGCTCCGTCCCTCCTGGATCTGGCTCCCGAGGGCCTGCTTGCGGTCTGGCCTTCCTGAGCCCAGGCCTGTCAGTAGGCAGAGGCTCTCGGTCTGACCCACTCAAGTCTGCAGTCACCAGCAGACCATCCCCGCTGCTGCGTGCACGGTGTTGGCCTCACCGTCAGCAAGCCGGGAGCCCCAGGGGGTGTCGCGTCTGTCACAGCAGCAGTGGAAAGCCACTGCAGCGTTTTAAGGCGGGGACTGACAAGGTCAGATGTGAACATTCAGAATCCCAGTGAGCGGTCCGAATCCCAGTGAGCGGTCCGAATGGCGAATGGAGGACAGGGCTTGCTGACAGACAAGATGGGAGGTTCCGGCCAGCTCTGAGCTGGAGGGGCGCAAGTGCTTCTGGCGCCATCATCCTTAGGACCAAGCTGGGCGCCCGGCATAGCAGGAACTCCATGCACGTCTGCCAGGCAAATGACAGGAGAAAGGATCTGCCAGTAGCACGGATGGCCCTGGACAGGGACCTGGCTGTGGTGCTGACTGGCCCTGCCCGCCAGGACCCAGAGGCAGAGGGCCCTGCTGGACCCTGGCCGGGGCCTGGAGACCCCAGCCCTGGCCTTGACCTGCTGCTCTTGTGTGAGCTTGGGCAAGTGCCTTCCTCAGCTCAGCTCATTTCTAGATTTATAGGGAAGTGCTAATAACCACCCCCACCTGCCTCCCTGGGTGACCCATAAGACTGGGTGTCGCTGATGAGTCATCTCAGTGTCGCCCATGTCCACCAGGAAGCAGGAAGCAGAGAAGTAACAGTGTGCCGGTGTGCCAGACCCCCAAGGGGGAGACTCGGGGACAGAGAAGCGGGCAGGGCAGGCTCGGAGGGTGGAGGAGGGCCCTGAGGGATGGGGCAGGGCAGGGTGATGGCGCACCCAGCACAGGGAGGACCTGGGCCGAGAAGAAGTCTGGAGTGGGCGGTGTCCTCCCAGGAGCCGCGCGGCCTGGGCTCTGACCCGGCCGTCTTCCCTCTAGCTGATCTGCACAATGCCACCAACCTGCGGTCTCGGTCGCTGTCTGGCACGGGGCGGTCCCTGGTCGGGTCTTGGCTGAAGCTGAACAGAGCGGACGGGAACTTCCTTCTCTATGCACACTTAACATACGTCACTTTGCCGCTGCATCGGATCTTAACAGGTAACGTGGAAACGCAGCTGCCACTCTGCAGTCACTCTTTGGAACCTGGTTCCTGGACCCTGGGTCTCCGAGGCCAGTTCGTGGGTGTGTGCAACCCTGTCCCTGCATTTCAAGTCGGGAGCTCATCAGTGGCTTCCACGGAGGTCTCTATTCACTTCACGCAGGGCGTCTGGGAAAACTCCCGCCCCTGAAGGTGTCCCTTTGAAGGTGCTCTGGTGGCCCCTCCTGCCCCCTTGTCTGCAGACCCTTAAGTGTGCGTTACTCATGGGTAGGTGAAACTCGGAGGCCTGTCACTGACCGGGGCTGTGCCAGGCAATGGCTCTGGAGTCGGGCCAGCCCATACCCGAGCCCGGGCTCTGCGGCCGCCCTGCACTCATTTCGCTGTCCGCAGGATGGGGGGACAGCAGCGCTGCGGGTCTGAGGGTCGGAAGAGGACGTGCACGCGGGTCGCCTGGCGTGGGGTCCCCTCACGAACGGGGCTGTCCTGTCCGTCGCAGTCGCGCTCCGTGTTTAATCCCTGTCTCACCCGCTCCCCACCCTCCGCCCTAGACATCCTGGAGGTACGGCAGAAGCCCATCCTGATGACCTAGCCGTGTGCGGAGCCCGCGCGGAGCCCCCGGCCCCGCCCGGCCCTGGGAGTGCTGCCAAGTGCCTATGTGTCCACCGCCACCGGGGTCTTCTGTGACAACCCAGCGCCGGGGGCCAGAGCCAGGCGAGGCCACTCGACCCCTGGGGCCAGGGCCGACTCCACGAACACCAGCCCAAACTGAAGTGCCTCTTTCTCCTCCCCTGCTGGCTCTGCTCCTGCCCTGCACCCCCGCCCATCACCTCCCGCCTGTCCCTGGAGAGCCCTCTGCACCCAGAGAGGACCGGAGGCCCCAAGAGGCCATCAAGAACGCAGAGGAGCTGCCAGCACCCAGTGCGTCCAGACCTACCCACCCGACACGACATCCCGACCCGCAGTGGGCGGGGACCACCCAGCGGGGGCGCCGTGCGTCACACCCTCCTCGCTTCTTAAGGAGGACAGTTTACCGTCTCGTAATGCTGTGCCAATGAACTTCGGCATCTGAGTTGGTCCCGACGTCCGCCCTCCCTCGCTTACCACTTGGTTTTAGCGGGTTACGGTGGGCAGGTGGGGAGCACAGCTGTTCGATGGTTTTGCCCTGGGCTGCGAACACCTCAGCCCACGCCCGGTTCCAGAAAGGCCGGTAGCTTAGCAGACAGGCCCTGATCCCGCCGGAATGGCCTTTGCTTCCAGCCAAAGAGCACCACCGACACACACCTCCACCGTGCAGACCGCCCGCTCTGTGCCTCAGCCGGCCTGGCCCGCAGAGCATGACTCGGAGGGCAGGTGGGAGGGCGTGGGAACCAGACGGGGAGAAGGGTGGGGTCTCCGCCCAAGGGTGGAAGGTTGGGGTGGGGTCGGCATCCTTCCAGGAAGGTTCTAGTAGACCCTCCATCCGTCCTTGGGGTCCAGGGAGGGGCTAGTTAGTTTTGCTTCTGGTTTCCTGGAGCTCACGTTGTCTGCGCCTGCCGGTCCCTCCCTCGGACCAGCTCCGTGTGGCCAGTCGGGCAGGTGTGTGTGAGTGGCCGTCCATCCAGCCCCGGCCTTGCCCGCGGCCTCGTCCCAGCCAGGAGGATTGCCGCGGGGGATGACACGAGTTCTCAGACCGCAGGTCCTCCTGAGAGCAGAGTGTCCCCCAGCCCAGTGGGAGTGGCCTGTCTGTGGGTGTCTGTCGCAGTGTCGGAAGTCCCCAGGGTTCCTGCCGTACGTTTAGAGGTCCGCGGGCTGCGGGAAAAGGGCGTGGAGGGGCGTCTCTCCGTCTGTTTATCCTGTGCTCCAGGGGTTTGCTCTGGGCTCCGCAACGGGACGACTTGGGGGCTTTCTCCAGATTTTGTATGCTGTTATTAAAAGCGAGCTATTGCATTTCATTCTGCCTCAGTTTGCCCACCTGTAAAATGGGGCCGATACCACCTACCTCACTGGAGTCTCCAGGGTCCCAGCACACGACCTGGTCAGGGCGCCGTTCCGTGCACTGCTGCTGTCAGGTGTCAGGCAGTCCGACGCTTCCCTCCCCCACCCCTCTAATCACCCCGTCCAAGACACCGTGCGGTGGGGTTGGCTTGGAACATTCTCGCATTCTCTGACAGCGCCCCACTCGTGCTAGAGGTACCTCTGCTCTGCATGATCTCACGTCCCAAAGCAGTGCCCTTGGGCAGTGGGGCCGGGCCTCGGGGAGCTGCGAGGTGGCCCAGTGTTCCAGGACGCCTCTGGAGCGTTCTCCAGGAGTGCTGAGAGCTGCCCCCAAGTTTGTGCCCAGGGTGGCTAAAATATAGCTTTTTCTTCAGGAACATTTTCTTCCCTGGTCGTCTGGAGTCCGAAGACTCCGGAACTCAGTTCTTAGGAGAAACACAGTCCTGATGTAGCTTCGTGGAGAGACGAGGTAGCCCCCACGTGCAGAAGCACAGAGGCTGTCCCTCTGTGCTGCGGGGAAGGGCTCCAGAAGGTTCCTCAGCTGGGGCCAGAAACTGGCCCAGCTCATGAGTCTTGGCCACAGCTGCCAGTCGGCCCTGGACAAAGCGTCAGGCTGCTCCCCCGTAAACCTAAATTCTGTCTGCCTCACGGGGGCTGAGGGCCAATTGCAGGAACATGTGAAAAAGCTTGGCAGAACTTAGAAATGTGTGCAAACAGTGGGAATTAGAGATCACACCTCATTCGTAAAGCGTGTGACAGATGCACACACTGGTTTGGCTGTTCTAGATCCAACACTTAGGTGGCACCTCGCGTGAGCAGGCACCACACTGAACATTTAGGATCTGTCGCCCCCATCCTACAGTTGAGGACACAGCCAGAGAGGTTAGGCGAACTGCCCAGGATTGGACAACAAGCAGTGAGGGCTGGAGTCCCACGCAGGCGTCTGGCCCCAGCTGGCACTGAGCCTAGGGCCTGAGCTGCTCAGCACGGGGCGTTTGGTGAAATCCGTCCTTGTCTTTAACTCTCCCCGGGGGCACTCCTGACAGTGAACTTGAAACACGCTCAGAGGTGCTCGGTGACTAGGCAGAAAGCTGTGAACTCTGACGTTTGTTCAAAGTGACCAATGACAGTAACAAAGTAACGGAATAACAAGTGACAGGACCAGAACCAGCGCCCCAACGTCCTGGTGGGTCCTGATGTTGATACATTTTTACTTATTGTAAGGCCGTCTTCAGTTTTTCTGGGAACATGCCTGTCTCTTGAGTGATGCAGGGATGAGCGAAGCATGCATATGTTTCTTAAACAGGAATCGGAATTAAAGGATAGTTTTACTTTGAAGAAACCTAGGTGTCACTTTTTAGGACATTAATAGAGTTTTTTTTTTAATTTTAAAGAGTTGTCATGGCCCCAGAGTGGTAGGTGATACATCACCCCCCAGTGACACCTTCAAGCCCCAGAAAGGTAGCCTCTAGTCTTACGTCCTGGTGTCTTGCTCAAACTCCCAGTCACCTCTAAAAACAGTCAAGTCTCCTTATTTCAAAAGAAGAATATTATTTAAAATGCAAGTATCAGAGAAGTAGTCCAAGAGAACAAAAAGCAAAACCACCCTGTAGTTCAGCCAGCCTGGAGGCCAGCGGGCTCCCGACGAGGCTGAGCACGTCACCGGGGAACGACTCGGCTTTTATGTGGCAGTAGAGACAGAAAGGTGTGTTTATAAAGTGACTTTCCCCCAAAGAATCTGGCTAGAATCAAGCCAGAATCTATTTTTGCCTTTTTAATCACAATTAGACCAGTTAGTAGACTTTTGAAAAATTACGTAATTTTTTTTTTTTTTCATTAAAAGACATTCCAGGAGGCAGTCCCTGTGCAGTTGGTATATTCTAATGACTTACTTTCGAAAGGTATATTTGACGTAGTCATAATACAGTAGTTTTAAATTACTGGTCAGAATTCTTTAAAGACTTCACATATCACAGATCTGCCAACTTTCTAATGAGGCTTAATAAGTTTCACTCATATTCTGTTCGGTTTTCCAGTTTAGCTAGAATTTAGTTTTATATTCGATTTTTAAAAAATCCAAATATCTTTGACATTACAAAGTTTAAGCTTCCTCTCCTCTATACCAGAAACTGGAATTACATCTCTTAAACATAGGCGCCCTGGTAGGACACAGACTCCGAGGTGTGAAAAGGCAGGTGCCCGCTGACATCTGGCCCCTGAGCGTGAACCAAGAAGCCTTCCGGGCAGGGCTGCTCCTCCGGCCCTCCTGGGAGGTGGCCTGGGGGCGTCACTGAGTGTTTGCTGGGGCTTCTTTTGCCCTTTTCACTGACTGACGTCCTCCTCAGTGGATCCTGTCCTGTCTCCGAGCCCCGGGAGCAGGTGACCCAGGAGAACTCCTTGGAACACCACAGAAGCCAAATCACTTGAAAACCAAGTGGCCTGGGGGTTGGTTCGGAGTCCCATAGCAGCTAGAACCTCAGAAGTGGAGGAAGCCGCAGACCTGCCCACTGAAATAGTTGGCGTTTACAGTTTTCTATTACTCCCGAGGCGAGCAGGCAGTTGTATCGCCCGTTCCAGTCCTTGGGCTCCATAGATCCCAAACCACAGCGATGCTCCAGGTCCTTGAGCGGCTGAGGCATCCAGTCTTTCTCGCCTTTGTTGTCCTTCTGGTCTCTTCGCAGAAGGTCGGGTGATTTAGGTGTAAATAGTACCTTTTATGGTTTCCAGATGAATTCTCTGAGAATATTTAAACCTGCAAAGGATACCCGTTGAGATTTTTCACTACTTTGAGGCATAACTAAAGTGATTTCTACAAAATCTATTTTAGCAAAAGCACCATGATGGCATACACTGACTATATTAGAATCAAATTGTCAGCGTTATTTCCATAAACAGCAGCAGCTTCTGGATTAACCACCTTCCACAGACGTAGAAATCATTTCTAAGCAGTATTTGTGGTTGGCTGTTAGCTCTGCTTTATGATTTTGCATTTCTATTGAAAGTTGATTTGCATGTTGAATATTACATTTCTGTTTCTTCCATGAGTTCCTCTAATAAATCTGTACTGGTTATTTATTTATTTATTTTTTATCTCTAATAGGGTGTTTCAGATTAAATGCAGATATTACAGCAATGGATAACTTAGTGACTGAACCTTATTTTGCCCCCAAAGTTTTCTTAGACCGACAGAAACCACCCTGGCAGTCCTCGAGTCAGCGAGGAAGGTGGCGGCGCTGCTGGTGCTGAGTTTGCAAAATTAAAGCATCATTTTCAGCTTTAGGTCTCGGCCCCCGGTCTAGTAGTGGGGCCCTGCAGCTGTGCTGCCAGGTTTCCCCCAGCTTTTCCTAGCGAGCCCCTGAAAAAGCCCTGAGAAGCAGAACAGTGGCTAGAGTGATAGCCAGCGGTCCCGCGTTCAGGTCTGGCGGGCTCCCGATAGGCTGCCCGGTCTCCTGGAAGATGGCGTGTGGGCTGTGGGCTCCTTGACTCACCCAGCTGATGTTGAGCGCGTCTCCCCATTTTCAGGCTGATGACGCCACCTGACCTATCACCGATTCCTCGCAGATGGAACCAGCCTCAGAGTCACAGCTCGGGCCATGGGCATTTCCTTTCCATGGTCAAATGATGTCTATGTCACAGGGTGATGGGTATAAGTAAGGCCTGAGACACTGTAGAAAGTGACAGAAATGAGTGATAAAGAAAGGGGGGCGGGGTTCTGAGAGGAACACCTACACAGACCTGGAACTACGGTAAGAGACATCGGTGACCCCTCATGGAAATGGCGATTGCCGTCAGAAGCATCTGAGCCGAGGGGATTCAACGTCACCAAGAGCAGAGTGCGGGACAGTTACGGAGGCAGTTTTGTAGGGCAAAAGAACCACTTCCTTGCCATCCACATCACACCCCACTCTTGTTAAACGATTAGGAGGTCCTTTTAAAACAGTCACCTGAGAAATATCTGCTATTTGGGGAGACAGTCTCTCCCCTAGAAGCTACGATAACCTCAGTCCTATTTATGGCCTCCTCTGGAAGGCCCCATCGCCCTGCCAGTTCTTTTAATTCTGAGCAGCTGGACTTTTAGGAAGTGCTGTCATGCCCTAGCTTAGAAAACAATGTTGACTGGAAGGGAAAACCTTTGGGAATTCTGTACGGGGAGAGAGATGTAAAACAGTCTCTCCGACCACACCGTTCATTGTACATATACATGTCGAATGTGTAAACATGCAGTACTTTTGTGCTCGGTCGTTAAAATGACAACAGCTGGAAAATTCATACGAAGACAGGAAAATATTTGTTTGGGGGGATGATAAAAGTTGTCTTTTCTTTTGCTTACAGACTTGGCGTCTACATAAGCCAACAGGTGTTTCTTTCCTATATGTGGATTAAGGGTCTTTCATCTTGGAATCTGACTTTAATAAAACAAATTGCTCAGTTTGAAATAACCATGGCTGTTAGTGAACTTTAATGATTATATTTTGAATAAACCATTTTGTTCGAATGATTTTGGCCAATTCCAGAAACCAGTGACGGTGAGTCCTTCCACGGGCACACGTCTTCGGGTGGCCCACGGAAAGAGCTGCATCCAAACCGTTATCTAAACTGGGGCGGCGGTTTCTCAGCCGCGAAGTGGACTCACCACCTGCCTTCTGGGGGGCAGCGGGACTGAAGTGACATCCACGCACAAACACTGGCACAGTCCCTGGCAACTTGGAAAATCATCGCTGTTTCCCGCCCTGCAGTGTGCCGAAAGTGTGTTTTGTGGGTTACCTTCAAACAGACGTCCTAACGGCGCTCAGAGGCAGCCCAGTGGTTCTCAAATCCCGGTGTGCGTCGGAATCACTCGGCAAAACCCGGGAGACGTTCTGGGGTTAGTGGCGGCGGACGCGTGACCGCGACGCGCTGATGTACACTTTAGAAGGGTGAACATTTTACGTGGATTATATCTCAGTGAAAACTGAAATGGCCCGCGGGGCCCCAACCTGCGGTTCTGACTCAGCGGGTCGGTGGGGAGGGGCGTTCGCCTCCCTGGCAAGTCCCTAGGTGCAGCCACTGCCCCCAGGACCACCCTTGAGAACCGCTGCTCTAGCCGGACCACTCGGCTGGGCACGTGAAACAGGACCGGTGCGTGCAGGTGTGGCCTCGCTCTTCGGATAGGACCCTCTTAGCGTCACCGTGAGTTTCCATGTTGTCAGTTCAGGAAAAATACTTTGATGGAGAGGGCAGGTAGTCTCTGCGACATTTTCTCTACCAGGAGACATCTTTTATAAGTGCTAGAATAATTCGGGAAACAAAAAAATAGGAACCTGACTCCAGTACTATACTTTACAATTTAACGTCTTAATAGTGATTTTTCTAAATCACTGGCAATTTAAAGTTATACGAACTCAAAATATATTTTTTTCTTGATCATTTTGATCCTTAGTTTAAAAATGTCCTTGAGAAGGATCACATTTTCGACTGACATGGGTCTGGACCCAGACCTCAACTCTATTTACTGCTCTGTAAGAAACTTAACCTGCCTACACTCAGTTCCTTGGAAAACTCACCAGAGCCCACGTCCCGGAGGTCTGCTGTGAAACATATAGAGCACCTTGTACAGGGCTTTACACCAGCGGTCCCCAACCTGGGTGGCACCAGGGACTGGTGCTTCGAAGAGAATCTAATGCCTGATGATGAGGCGGAGCCGAGGCGCTGATGCTGGCGCTGGGGAGCGGCTGCAGATACAGATGGAGCTTTCCTCGCCCGCCCACCTGCCGCTCACCTGTGCGACCCGGTTCCTGGCAGGTCACAGACTGATACCGGTCTGCAGCCCAGAGGCTGGGGACCCCAGCTTCCTACAGCAGCCAGTGAAAAATCTATTATTCCCTCTCTAATTGGTAAACACATGAGTCCAACAGGGAAACGAACGTTTGGAAGCAGCCTCGCTGCACACCGGGGTCTGCTGCCCGCCCGGCTCCCTCCCCTCCAGGCGGAGGTGGTTCCGGAAGCTTCCGCAGGCTTCTTCTCCCCTGGTCTGCTTGACTTGTACTAACGCCAGATGCATCACAGAGAACACAAAAGTGTCAAACACTGTGATTTTGTTTACTTTCCATTTATTCACATTTATGGACTGTTACACTTCCTCAACGGGATCATTCAAAAACACAAAATGAGATTACATTGTCTGACAATTCAAGTATTTAAGTTTTAAAAAACAATTTCCTATTTAAAATAGAAAGCAAACAATTTATCTGTTTGATTGCTAAGAAGTTTCACATCTGCCTTGTATCAGACAGTCCCTCATCCTCACCGTGGTGGCCACGGGCCAAGGATACATGAGCAGCCTCGTGCTCGGCGTGCTGGCCTGGAAGACCAGTTTCATGGGCTCCCCGCTGTCACCCCCAGCACTGCAGGACAGCTCAGGTCCTACTTAGCAGTCTGTCTTCCAGAACGACAACGGATGCTCGGGACTTTGGGAGTGAGCCGCTCAGTTGACAAGGCCTTCAAGCGCACTGCACACACATTTGACTGTTCCGAATAGAAGAATAACTGACAAATGCTCAAAAACAAACAACTTGTTTACCTTTAAAACGAAACCAAAAAAGCTTTCTCAGTCCAAATATCCTGAACTCTAATCATAAGGTAGAATATTTGATATTTTTGGCATGCAGCATATCAAAAATATGACTTAGAATTGAAGTTGTAAAACAATCATCTTTATAAAGAAAACCCATAAACAGATTTGGCCTTCTATGGGAAACACAATCTAAACTTTAAAAACTGGACACACACTTTCAGCCTGTAATTCTAACAACGAAGATGGCACGACAGTCATTTTTGCCTACTGGGAATGCTCGAAAGGATGGGATGGACACGCGCCAGTCTGCAAAAAGGCCACCGGGAGGCTCGGTGTTTGTCAAGATGCGACACCACCTGATTTAGAATGAAAGATACACACACCTCACTTTAGGCCACGTATATTATACACTTTATAGATTCTTACACCCAAAATGAAAATTTCAGTCTGCATTACTTTTTAAAGCCTCATTTCTAATGATTTGTTAAAAATTAAATCTAAACCCATGGGGCTGGGTTTAGACATTATTACACTGGGGAGAAAAGGTAAGCCCTCTGGGGCCCCGGGCGTGGAGTGCGGGGGTGGAGGGGACCTTCCCTCAGGCAACGTACAGGGGGAGAGTTTCCAGAAAAGTCCATGCACACTTAGGCTCTGTCATACTGATACATAATTAGAGACCAACAAGTTCCCAAAGTGTAAGAATGATTTAAAGAAAACATCACATTTTGAGTCCTGGTATATACATCACATTTTCCCTGTAATTTTCACTTTTACAGTGACAGTCTTAGCAGCAAGAATTTGCTGGGAATGTTAGGAGAAAAGCAAGCCACGCGCAGCCACTAATTTCGAAGATGTGAACTAGTTTTAGGTCGTTCAAAGGTCGCCACCCATGACCTTTCCGTGCCATTTCTGCTGAACATTCTGCTGCACGTGCAGAGGCCAACACGGTCACTAAAGTGCCACTGGCACCAGCGCGCCCCCAAGACGCCTGCCAGATCTGCCGCTCCAGGTGGGGCCGTGGAGCACGTGCGGCCACGCTTCACGCTGGAGCCTGTCCCCTCCTCCTTCACCCTTCCGACAGCTGCATAAACCCGATGGGAACAGGGCGGGGTCCGTATGAACGGAACACAATCGACCACTTGCTTAATTATCAATCATCTCTAACAAAAGTACACGAATCATCGCAATTCTAAAAAATGCCAAACCTGCCGCTTCCCTTCTCGCAAGGTCTCCGGATGCGCGGAGCTGCCCCGCCCACGACGGCATGCACGCCTCCCACGCACGCATCTATCTCAAGTCACACGCTAGGCCAGATGTTCCCCACTGGAATCCAAACAGATTAGGACAAGAATCTCATGATAAACATTGGCCCAACTACCTTACCTCATGTAATTAAGTCAACACATCCGATCGTACAAGCTTCACCCCCACTTTACGTCTAAAAACTGTAGCTTTTCAAAATAGCGCCTACACGATCTAAGCCAGGCGGCCCCGCTCCTCTAAGTGAAGGTCAGCGCATGCAAGCGTGAGGCCGCGGCCACCGACTCAGCCTTTAAGCAAAGTCGTCTGGTGCCAGCATTAAATGACGAGAAGATTGGAAATAGCATTGAACATTAAAATGTACTTGCGTCTACTCACGTGCCCAGAGCGTTCTAAGAATGCGGGGCGAGGTGCCTACCAGCTGCGGGGAAGGGACATGGAGATTCTCGTGCAGACCGCAGCTCCCTCCCGAATGGACCTACTGAATAATCTCACTCTTGGAAAAGAAAATGGCAATTTCAGACCTCGACGCAGAGTATGCTGCTGTCTACGTTAAAGGCAACACGTACACACACTACTGTCACTGCCGTGACCTTATTGCATGTTTCCTGCTTAACTCACGTGGCTCAAGTGCAGTGAGAGCTCCTCTGACCTAAGAATCGTTCTGAGCTCCGCACAGTCCACCACGGCACATTCGCTCCCTTTCACAGTATGGTTTAGCTCTGACTTAACTTCCTTTTTTATAGGGTTTACTGTCCATGGTTTACAAACTAAAAGCTACGAAATTTGTGCTTTTAAAACTCATTCCTGGCCATTCCCTTCTCCCCTTTTTGTTATTAGAGGATACAGGAGTAACAGCACCTTGTGAATAAAACTACAGAACCAAAGAACAAGCTACTTGTTTCCTTTTAAAACAAGGAGGCAGTCCCCGAAGAGCCACGGCGCCGCAGCCCACGGGCGAACACCGCAGCTTCGCAGCGACACCTGGTCAAAGCAGGCAAAGACCATCTGGCACGCACGGCAGCGTGGTCCTCGGCGCGGCCCGCTTCCTCCGGACGCCCCCGCGGGACCCTCGCCAACGCCACGGTCGGAAAAACCTTCTGGGAATCCGATCAGTACCCTGATTTCAGTCCGTTAAGAAATCACTTGTGGTTAGTTTAATAAATGAACATTAAAAATCTTCCAAAAAAAATCTTTCAAATGTATTTCACACGTTAGACAGCTCTCAGGGAGGGAGAATACAGTTTGACACTTAACATTAAAGGTTTTATTGGCCACATTAATCTTCCTCACAAAAGTCCTAACTTATCTAAAAGTTTTCAGAATGTTGAAGTAAGAAGAGAACTGACTGTTTTTTGGGGGGCGGGGGGTGGAGCAGCAACTTGGCAACGGTCCCTCAGCGGCGTGAGCTCAGGCATCCTTTTTCTCCAGTAAAATTTTGTGCAATTCGTCCGCGTCCTCGCTTGTTTTCACCCGAATGAGCATGGTAACGGGGACGGTGGCGTTGTTCTCATCGACGGGCGGATTGGGGACGCAGATGATCAGCACGTTGTTCTTCCCCGTTCGGGTACACGGCATGTTGGGTGGGATCAGGACATTCAGCAAAATGTTGCCTGCAGTTAAAGATGCAAAAAGATACATCAACATCATCCAAACCTAACGGTCCCACAAAACGACAGCTTTAAGTGCTACCCTCAGCACTGAAGCAACCTACACTTCACTGATCAAAACTGGAAGCCACAGGAATGTCATGAACGCAGGCACCGGCTCCCTGACATCAGTGTCGGCCTGGGTCCCCTTGGGAGGACCAAGAGGCAGGATCGGACTCCACCTCACTGTGGGGGGACCGCCGCCCGCCCGCATCTCCTGCCGGCAGCTCCCTGGCCCACCACGCTCACGGCCTGCAATCTCATGGAGCCATATGAACAAAGCAAGCATGCTCAGCCAAGAAACATCTGTCCCGGAGGCCGGCATGGCTCGCTGGGTCAGTGCTGTCACTTTGATGTTACCACAGATTAGTCAGGCCCACAGGAAAGAAAGAAGCCGCGGAGAAGCTTCCTTCTGCACCTACCTGGTGGGGCCCGCCACTTCCTCTCCGACTGGCCCGCCCCCTCCTCTTGGGGGATTATTTTAAGAATAAAGCCGGGGTGGGGGGGGTGAGTGCTGTGTTAATGATTATTTGCCACATAAAAAGGATCCTTTAAGTGGTCGAGTAAGTCCTCTTGTGTGTTTGTTATTGAACCATTTAGTTTACCTAGAGCTTCTAAGTCAAGTCTCTAACACAAAACAACGTGAAGGCCATTTTGGTTGCTTCCTGGGTATAGCTTTTAACCACCTCCGTTTTCTCACACACTACTGCCCGGCCAGGACTCAGCTCAATCTAGAAATGATCAGTAAGCACAGGACGCGTTTGGCCTGAATGATCTTCCGTTCCAAAGACCACATCAAGACACTGGAGAATCTCAAAGACTGAAGTCAGCAAGGTGAAGGCCCATGTGCTTCGCATGCTATGTGATTATTACTTTGTGCCACAAAAAAAGGTACCCACCTAAGTTGGTGTCTGCCCGCACTAAAAGCTGTGTCTTCTGATTCACTGTGGGTTTTAAATGCAGAGTACCTACACCCTTTTCTTTAAACTCATTGTCTTTCTTGTAAAATAGTTTACACCTAGGGAGAAAAATAAGAAGTATGGTTAGACACTCGATGACAAGTCAAGTCGCACTTTTCCGCCAATCACTGGTCACACCTGTGTGGGAGAATCCGCATTAAATGAGAGCAGAGGGAAGCTTCGGGGTAAACCTTTTACTGCCCCGGTGTGGGTCGGGCACAAACCAGAATAAGGTAATCTGGTCAGACATTCTAGAGCCCCTACCCCTACTTTTTAAAAACGATTAGACAGTGGGCCCTATGTAACTTTTAAAATAACACTTCCTGAAACCATCTTTTTTCGAGTCAGTCAAAGCCACGGCTAAACCACCCACAGCTGCCTGACCGGCTCCTGCACCACGCAGACTCAGCACACACTCGGCCCGCCGTCCCTCCCCTTCTCTTATTATTTCTGAATTCCCTTCAGGTCTTCAGTTTTTGATCTCCTGAGGCACCGAAATCAATCTGGAAAACACTCCCAAGCAAGGCCTGACTGACGACCATGCAATGGAGCGCTTCCCAGCCTCGCGTGTCGTACTTCTCCTTAGGTCACGGACAAATCCAAACTACTGCCCGCTCCTCCGATCTAGTCTAATTAAAAAAGAATATCAAGTCAGGGCCACTCCTTTACGTCATCTAGTTAAATTTTAAAAACAGGCAAAAGGAACTATTGACATCTTTTTAACGTTCTCAAAAGTAAACATTCAGAAATCCCATACGATGTGGCGATGTTATGAAAACTGCCGACTCATCAGTCTGGAATTTTTCTATTAGAGAAGCACATCTGGGGAAGCTTCTGAAATGGCAAAAAAACATTTTTCAGTAAATATCTGTTTAAAAGTATTTCATTTCACCGAAATGAGGTAATTTGAAATCTCCCTCTGCTTCCTCTGCAAGCAGCAGCTCTCGCTCAAACACGGACAGCATCGCCGGCGTGGGACAGCGCTCGCCTCCCCGACCGAGAGGGTGCCGGCCTTGCAGGACACCAGCTACGAGGGCCAGCCGGGCCTCCGGCACGAGACCTCAGACACCTGCTGCTGAAGGGCAGGGGTCAGACCAAGCCCGAGCCCCCTGACGCGTGACTTTCTCTGTGAGGGGCGGAGAGGACGAGAGCGGGCGGACAACCGAGAAGCAGCCCCGTCGGCAGCACTTTCAAAGCGGAAGAGCTGAGTGAGCAGAAAAGAGAAGGCTGTGCCCAGCGGGAAAGCTACAGAATCATTATTTAAAAAATAACCAGGCCAAGAATTCTCCCTTTCCCAGTTTGAAGGGCAGACACAGCCCGAGCAGAGGATGAGGTGCTCGGTAAGTTCTGCGGGGACGAACCCCCACTACCCAGCCAGAAGCCCCTCCCTGTCCCTCACAGCAAGCTCGCCAAGTGGACTCAGAACTGTCACTTACTTTTTGGAGTAAAAAGCATCTTCTTCTTTTACCTCAGTAACTACTACTTTGGGCGGCTCATCGTTTTCCTCTTCGTCTCCACCTTTTAAAAAAAAACACCAACTCAGTAAGACTCGAACCGAGAGCATGAATATGTGGTGAAAGAGGACTGTTACTGCCCCCCGCCTCCACCTAGAAACCCCACGTAAGCTGACAGAAGCGGAGAGCACACGTCAGACTGTGTGTGTGGGGGGGATGCACCCCCATCAGATTTCAATTATTTTGTGAAAAATAAGAATAATTTTTAATGGCACATTTCTTCTGAAACAAATATTAATTTGTAAAAAGTCTCAGAATGGAAAAAAAATATCCTTATGATTCAGTGCACATATAAACTTTTACAGGGAAAAAAATCAGTCGAGTGTAACAAAAGTGAATGCTGCCCCCCCGCCCCGCCTCCGTCTCGCCCCAGCCCGCTTCGTTCCCACGGCCTTCAGGCTAATGGCTTCTTGCACGTAGACATGTCAGTCATTACAGGAATCCTGCTCGTGGCTTGAGGTTTACAAACCAGACCCTCACCAGAAAACTGCCTCCCCCAGGAGGTAAGGGAAGTGAGTGTTGTTTATTAAAGATCTGCGAGGACCTCGTGACCGGACTCTCATCAGCTAGGGCCAACGGCCTGAGTACACTCTTCCGGGGACCCTGTTGGTGCCTGGACGTCCACGGTCATCCGTCACCCTTGCTCCTCTCACTCCGCCTCCCCTTGACTGGCCTGGCGCCCCACCCGCAGGAGAGGGCTGAGAGACGCTGCATTCGATGCCAACACCAATCCCCTTAAAGAGAAAGGCGGTTGCACAAAACTCCCCGAATTAAGGAAAACAATTCTGATGCTCAAACGACTCAGGTCACAAAATTTAAAGTTTAAGAGAGCGCTCTATAAGGCCATGGTTCCCAAACTGGTGTGCCGCAGAATCTCAGTTTTTCAAAACATAAAGATCTTGAGACTCCAGAGTTAGGCTCTCTAGGATGGGCCCAGGCATCTGAGATTTTAACAAGCTCTCCAAGTCCTCCCGAGGCATGAACTGTGACAAGCACACGAGAAGTATTGTGTGCTTTACTGAGGGGCGCCTGGCAGAGATGGACACTCAATTCAAATTCCACACCCTTCCACAAGCTGCGGCTTCCTGTCCCCGCTGTGACTGCCCTAGGACTAGGACGCTCTCCCTTTGTGCTATTTAGGGCAGAGAAAAAGTAAAAGAGATCGTCATTCTATGCTTCGCCCTGGAGGGCCTTGCCTGAGGATACACTCGAAGGCAGGGCAAGGGGGGACAGTACGCGAGTTTGGTTCCAGGTGGAAAAACACAGCCTTCAGGGCACCCTGGCGACTGCTGCTTCTTTCTCAAGGATCAATGGGGTTGACACCACCTGGGAGAGCTGCTTTCAACTGCCTCCGAGTCAACGGCACAGACACGATGTGCGCACAGCCGCCGTGTGATCAGTATGACGGAACAACGCAGGGCGTGGAGGGGCTGGGGCCGAGGCCCGGGCCCTTGCCTGGCTTGGGGCACTGACGCTACATAGAGCAGACATTTCTGGAAAGGTGGCCGCAATCCAGACATGTCTTAGAAAAACACTGTTCGTTTGTTCCCCATGGCTATGAAAATTATAGTACTGCTTTGCCATGTGACCTTGTTGATTACCAGATCTCAACTACAAACAAGTCTGTGGATGGGATGACAAACTTTTTCAATAAAACACATTTTTTCAAAATGTTAATTCACTTAATTCTTTTGTATGTGCAAAGCCATGTGTTTCAGAGTCACTGTGCCGGATGATTTCACGTTCTTAATTTTTACTTTTATATTCTTCATCCTTACAATAACCCCACAAAATAGGCCGCCTCCATTTTATGAAGGAAACTGAGACCCTAAGAGGCTCACTGACTTTGTCTAGGATCACACGCCTCGGAAATGATGGAGTCAGATGTGACCTCAGAGCCACCAAATCACAAGTCTAGACTATTTCCGGTAAACACAAAATTTCCACAAATGTAACACAGACCGACTAGGACAGACTTTATAGTTACCTTTGCAGTCATTACTGCCGCCACCTGCCTGGTTCTCCGACGTTTTAGCGGAAAATGGCGAAGAAACTGGTTTACTCTGGGTGATGTCTTTGCTAAACAAACCGGAGTTTCCAGAAGGAAATGAAAATCCAGTCAGGGGACCGGAGCTTAAAGGGCCCAAAACAGAGCTCTCGATTTTCTTGCCAAAGTTAAACGAGGCACTGGCTGCCCCCAGGGACGGCTCCGCTCTCGTTTCAGGCCCGGCCTCCATCTTTTCGGATGTTCCCTCAGCTTTGTTACCATGGAACAAAAATGCCGACTCTTGCTCTAATTTTGTTGAACCAAACAGGGAGGGAGCCTGCGTTTCAACGGCCGCGTCGCTAGGGCTGGTGTCGGAGCTACCGCTGCCACCGCCGCCATGCTGCTGCTCGATACCTGCCAGGTGCTTCTCGTAGTCCTTAAAGATGGGCGTCAGGTCGCACAGCGGGTTCGTGTTCACGTGCTTCACTATCCAGTCCCGAACCGAGCAGTTCAAGGCGGCCAACTGCTTATGATAGGCGCTCGGGCGGTGGGCTGCATTCGAGGTGAGGCCTGAGGAGGAGGGCTGCTGGCTGTCGCCATTCGTTTTGGGATTTGGAATCGTTTTGTCCGCCAAGGAAGCAGGGCCATTTGCAACAACAGATCCTATAGGAAATTAAAGTTTTAATGATTTTATTTAGAAGTTGAATCGACTAAATCAACTGGAGTTTCAGGCTACTCTTCATATTTTCTGCTTTTATTGTACCCATTTTTGTGACAGTTCAAGATGTGCCCGTCAAACATTTAGAATCTGCTTATCACAAAAATGAAATCAAACTTTAAAGAACAGCATCTATTATGTGTTTGCATTAACGATTCTAAGATCATCTGTTCCTTCAAAAGGATGCCCATTTCTCTCCGAACTATCAAAATGCTGTTCGTATAAAACTCAACAGCCAAGGCTGCAGGAATGAACATGTACTGAGATAGTTAAAATCTTAACAGCGAGTACTTACTGTAACCACATGAAACATCAGGCCTCGTGCAAGTGCACAGCGGACGCTGCTAGAATGAGCAGCTGAGCGCCGCCCGGCCAGTCCAGGCCTTGGCAAGAACCAAAGACTTTAACCCGCGATCTCATTCTCTGCTGCCAATCCCAAGAGTTCCCGCCTAAATTCCCTCAGAACAGGCTCAGATGGTCAACATGTCCTGGGCAAAATAAATCGAGATCGGAGGACCCCAAGATTCCGGAAGGCGTGTGCCACGCAGAGTCCTTGGTACACAGCCTAACGAGGGGACGGAAGGCAGAGGGTCCGCTAAGAGCTTCCTCCTCTCCTCTGACCCTTCGGTCAGCTCTCGAGGGTCATTCTCATTTCACAGTGGAAGATCTGGAGGCTCAGAGGACAAGGCACTTTACCAAGGTCACAGGGCTGGTGACTGGCAGAGCTTAGAACAGAACCTACGTCCGTTCTGGCTCAAAAGCTTGTTTGTGCTCTGTAAAAAGCCACATTTCCCTAATTTCCACCCCTTTCATTACTACGGCTTTTGCTCATATCGTCCCAGGACCCAAGGGAAATATGAAGAAAGCACCTCTGCAAAGCTTTCAGGGGACCTGTGTGAGAAGGGAGGGGGACCAGCTTACCGAAGGTGACCTTGCTTTCGGGTGCAGCGCCTGCACTGGAGAAGGCAGAGGCGCTGGCCATGCTGGTCCCGTTGGACAGTCCCTCCAGAGGCTTTGCTCCAGCGCCAGCGCCAAATCCGGAAAACCCTCCTCCTCCGGAAGGGGCGACCAGACCTTTAAAGCCTTTGAAGGCCCCTCCACTATCCGACTGAAACGTAAAGAAAGAGCACACACTGGATAACTCTGCTTTACCTCGCCAAACAAGCAAGTGGCAATATCATCTCGGCTAAATAGCACGTAGGATCCGTATGCAACCAGCATTAAAGGAAAACTGCCAGCACGAGCAGAAACAAGAAACGAGACAGATTTTATTCATCATGACAGCTCTGCAAAGCAAAGCTGCCTTCCTGAAATAGCCAAGGATAGTCCTAACTTATAGTGAAATATACTTTAAAAATATATTTAGTCTATGGCCATGCCACCCTGAACAAGCCCGATCCCGTCTGATCTCAGAAGCTAAGCAGGGTCGGGCCTGGTTAGTACTCGGATGGGAGACCACCTAGGAAGACCAGGTGCTGTAGGCATAAATAATAAAAAATAAGGGATTGTAAGCTGACAAGGTCCTTGCAATTTGTGGTCAACCAAGAGTTGCCTCGCCTAAAAAAAAATAAATACGTGTATATGTATATATATATATTTAATAAGATGTAAGAGAAAAAAAGTCTCACGCAATAAATTCACATACCCATCGCTCGGCCTCAGAATTACAATGCAAAACACATTCTCAACACAACTAAACCCCAAATAAAATATTTTTCACATTTGACTACTCAAAGACGGTTTGCCTAAAGAAGTTGTGGAAACATCCAACTAGGTTAACTAAAAGGATTTTACCCACTTACCTATAATTTCCTAAGAAATTCTGTAGCTTTCAACCTTCTTGCAGCCTATAGAAACTTTGGAAGTTGAGTCTCAAATTTAAACTTCCCGTTAGTGGCGAAATTCAGAGGCAACATTTTATTCTCCCGTTTTCTTGCTGCTTTTCTTGTAAGCAAGGTCTCTAGCAGACCGCTCCTGCAGCTGCTAGCTTTCTCAGCTCTAACCTGAGATGCTCTGGAACCACTCGGTATTCCTTAGGAAATTCTAAAGCTGCCCTCTGTCCCTGGGGACCTCTGGAGTTGACAGTGCTTCGCTAAAGTCACGCCGACATCTCTGAGATCCTTCTTCATTCAGAGTGGTGGTTACACCACAGGTGGACCTGCTTCTCAGACCAAAGAACCAAGGGAGGCTCTAGGAAATATTCTCAAAAATGCATCATGGAAAATACGCTTCAGAACGTCCAAGAGAGCACACCAACCTTCAGTTCCCACGCCAAGGAGTGATGATCACGACCTCACGAAAAAGATTACACCAGAACCTCTTTATTTTCTAAAGGTGCCAGTCAGCCTAGTATCACCGTTTTCAAAAACCAAAAAAGTTTCAATCACAATCTGAAGAATTTCAGATGGTTACGGACCACTGATATAAACTTATGGCCAAAAAATTAGGCAAAGAATGCAAAGTCTGAACTCGCGTGAGTTTTAATACACGTAATAAATACAGCTTATGTTCTGATGCTCTAAATTCAATTTTTGATGATTCAAAATCCAAAATACATCAAACTGTTATTTTGTAACAGTGATTCACGGACAAACTGTAAAGCTGAAAGTGGCCTTCAGAGCCTGTTATTTTGCACGAAATTTACAAGCCACATGGTATGTACAGCTATTTTGGAAATTACTGAATAGTAAATTGGCTCTAGGATCAAGACGAAAACTCAAGAGCCACTGGTTTTAAACAAAAGGAATGAAAAACATTCAGAAAGATGAGTTACAAGCTGAATGAGAAGATCTCCACTTGGGATCCACAGAAACGGAAACCTCCCCGTGTCCGCCAATCACGCTCCCTTGTTTTATTTTTCCCCATGGCTCTTATGAAGAAAAATATTGTATATTTGAGTGTCTCTTCCATCATCAGGATGTAAGTGCCACGAGGCAGGAATATACTGGCTTGTTTTTACCCGCCAACGTATCCCCAGTGCCTAGCCGATCTGCTGAATCAATGAACAAATGCACTATATGGGAAAAGCTACACTTCAGCATTTAAGTGGATGATACGACGTTTAATTTCTCTCACATACAAGTTCCGATGGAAACTGTGACGCTGAAAGTTACAGCTAAAATCATACGCGGATTCCACATATCCACACACACTTCCTGTCCTTGAACAGCCTGAGGCCTCCCCCACCTCCTTCCCTGGCTGAGTCTGGCTCGGGTCTGCACTGTGTCTACGCCATCACCCTCAAGCACCCGACGGCCGGGCCAGCCCTCCCTGAGACTGTCTGCCTTTGGCTTCATTCCTCACCATGCTCCCCCAGGGCTTCAACATCCTCACGGTTGAACTCGTCTGCAGGGGCTCAGAGCTGCACCCACCTCTCACCCCAACTCCTGTTCTGAGTAGCCAAACTGCACACTTAGTGGGCTTCGAGAGAACGCCACACCACTGGCCCCTAGAGTACATTTCCAAAACTAAACCAATCAGTTCCTTCCCAGTTAAGTTGCTCCCCCATATCTTCTCCATGAAAGAGCCATCAAACATCACCTGCCTCAAAACCTACATCCAACTAATTATGAGTCTCAAGAATGAAATTAGACCTGAAAGGAACTTGGACTAGAAAAAAAGCTGAACAGAGCTACCACAGGATGTGCAGTTGTATAGGTTTATTCCAAAGCTGCACCCAGGACATTCCAACAGGCTTCTCTCCTGCCTGACAACCGATGTCCAGGCCACCGAGGCAGCACCCACGTTTCTGGATTGTATCTGACGGCTGAGGACGGTACTGGGAAGAGCTGTTAAATGAGGAGTGATCGCTGAATACTGACCAAATGATCTCGATTCACGAGCTGTAACTCATCTTCTACCCTTCGGAACGTAGGGAGGAAGCATTTTAATTCACCACACCGTGGACGTGTGAAATGCTCCCATGAAAGGACTTTGCCACCCACAGCCGATCCCAGGGAGGGGCCGGGCGACCACCTCTCACGTTTCCCCTTCCTACCACTGCCTGACATGCACTTCTCTTGCCCTCTGTGTGGCTACCCTCGTTTTCCCTCTTCGTACTGTCACTTGACTCTAATGCGTCTCTATCCGGCTCTTGTTTGGGCATTTGGGTTCGCTCCCTTTAGGGCAGAGATCTCAGCTGTATTTATTTCTCTCTCCCCCACGGTCTACACCAAGGCCCTTCGCGAGTGGAGTCGGCACTGTGATACACGTTTATTGATCTGATTGCTCCGGGAGGTAGAAACGCTCTGCGACTCAGAAATCAAATCAGTGTTTATACCAGAAGCTGTAAGAAAACACTCACTTCAAATCCAACATTCCTACGCTTTGCTTTCTTTATGGCTCTATTCTTCAAGACTTCCTCACTGGCCACTGAGAATGTCCCCACCTGCAGGAGTATACAAATTAAACAGCAGTAAGGTAAGGCCAAAAAGGAGAGAAAATGCTGAATGGGAGAGCTAGACCAGGCAAACTTATCTAATATCTGCCGATTTTAAAATACCGTTAATACTCGTAAGACAAATTATGGTAAGGACACGTTAAAATAAAAGTTTATGTCTATTATCTATCTTGTGAATTCTGATGCTGGTTAGGCGAGTCATCAACCTTCTAGAATCTACAAATCCAAGATCTGGATCACAGCCCGCAGGGAAGAGTGCACACACAAACGCTTTGACGAGACTAAGTCGAAGCTTTGGTGCAAAACTATTCCGCACAAAGTCTTTAAACGTTTCAAAGATGTTCAAAGACATTAATAAAACAGAATAAAAGTTCTGTTTTATTAACAAAAGCAAAATCTATTCTCCAAAAGCTGGAAGGTGCCTTAAAGATCATGAATAGTTGGGAGTGGAGCCAGTTCTGAAAGCCAGGTGCCCAAATCTAGTAGCCTAACGGCTATAGTTCTCGAAAATAAAATTTATACTTATGAAACATACACACATTGTTTTTAGGAGCCCTTCCCATCTGCCCATCATCCAAAGACCACAGAGGCACCTGGGATTCCAGGTGACTGCCAGAAAACACCCGCAGTACACTAAGGGACCGCGTCTGCGGTCGGGGATCCGCTGAAGAGCTGGGCTTTCCTTCGCGCCTTCTCTTACCCTGTACGTCTGGTACAGAAAATAGTTTCTGCGAAAAGTTCTCATCTACAGTAATTTCAGAAAATGTTAAACTTAAAGAGATCTCTACATCCAGAGGGACCATTTAGTTACATTTGCCCAAATTAAATGGAATGTCCTTCCACACTCATTCGTGAGACTATCCGGATGGGAATATTCCCACATTTTAATGTCACGGCAAATCATTAGATGGTCTCGATCTTACTAGGTCTGGAATGTAGCTGTGTGTTAAGAACTGGAAAAAACTCGGTCACCAAAGATTTGGTTAAAAATCACCAAGTCAGTTAGAAGGGCTGAAAGCTGTCAAAATGTTAACATTAACATGCTCCTGACTTTGATCTTCCTAAACCTATCAGTGCATAGATTTGTGATGGAAAACACAGCAGTACTAGGAATAGACTCAGAAGAATGAAGATAGTCTAAGGATGAGCTTGCAAACACCTGCAGATCCTTGAAAACATTTTCTCCCTCGCCACTATTCCATTAACTGACAGGGCTGACTTGGATAGATCTCGGTGAACTGGCCTGGGAGCGCGGAGGTGCTGATGAGCCGCAAGAAACGCAACTGACTCCTACTCTTTATAAGAGAAAAATTAAAAGATCTCAGGGAAGACCATTTTTATTTTGCTAAGAAAGAATCTAGGCCAACCTAAATTCTACTCCTATTAATGGCATGGCTGGGGGGATGGGGGGTGCCGGGTATGAAATAAAGCTGGCCTCCAAGGAGCATCAGAGCATGGAAGGCGACCTCAGCCTTCTAAAATCAGGGCGCAGCAGGCCAAGCCGGTGGCGGAGGACCACTCTTCAAGTTCAAGGGCTGGTGCTAAGTTCACGACTGGATCGCTTACTCACCCTTCGGTCTTGACAAAAACCACGGATGTGGAATGCTGTAAGCACACGAAGTCAGGAGATGGGTGCTTGTACAAAGGAGGGAGTGTTTCAGGAATAAGGGCTGGTGAAGGGCACACCCAAATGTCATTAATCGATGTCCGTACTACGTACCAGTCCTAAAAAACCAGACTCTTTCCTGTTCCGGACAGTCTTAAAAAGGCCTTTTCAATGTTATCACCAAGTTTTCACGAGGAACCCTGAAATGAATTTAAATTGAGAAGCAGTAGGAAACTTTTTACCTCTTCTGCTTCGTCTTCTTGATCCCAATTCCTATCTGTCAATTCCTTCTCGGCAATTCTTTTGGCCATTTTTTCGAACCTAAAAGTAAAAAGGTTAGAGGTAAAAACTTTGTTTTTCTAGAAAAGACATCAGTCTTATAAAGAATTTTTACAATTCACTCTAGCATGAAATGAGATGGAGACATTCCCGATACCAGTGAGAACTGCTTCGATGAGAACTTTACAACTGTGTTCTTAGGCTCCCAGTTTCAAGTCCAACAAAGGTTATGCGAGGAGGCAGGGCAGGTCTTCCAAGGCACACCAGTACGCCTTCTAAACAACACTACCCCGACTCTACTTCAAGAATATTAATATGAAACCTCAGTTAAGATCTTTGAAATCTGAAATCTTAAGTAGTCTAGATAATTAAAAAGTGCTTAACTTATTCTATGAAAATTCCTTACAGTCTTGCTATAGACAAAACACTATTAATATTTAAAATTCTCTTTAAGATGATCCAGTAAAAAAGTTCATTTTCGGGTAAGAATTTTGACAAGGTATCGATGATACCTACGGTGATAGAAACACATTTCCCAAGACCGAACATTTTTATTAGCCCGAACTATATATTGCTAAGATACACAGCATTTAAAAGTTCCAAATGTAATTCATATTGATATGTTAACATCCTGAGAACGTACAACTCTTCAAAAATCAGCCATGAGCTCAACTCGTCTACCGCCACGGCAATACTGGGAAGGGTGGGAGGCGGATCTGACAGAGAATACGGTACCCATCCAAACAGGGTACTTGTATCCATCTCTTAAAATCTGCATGTTGTTCTCTGATCCTAACATCAGATCCTTTGCAATAAAAACAAAATCAATCAGTGGAGAGCTCTACTGAGTGCTGAGCTGGCTTCTTCCCTAACTCGTCCCTTGAATGGACGGAAAAACCTCTATTTTCTGTGCCGCCCCCCTTGTCCAGGAATTCATTTGTTTAGGGCTCCTGAAACCCGCCCAGACGGTTTCTTACAGTCTTTCTTCACCTTCCTTTGCCCTCAACACGACCCACCAGAGAATGTTCTTGGGACCTCAGGGGCGTTAAGATACAAACTTACACATCCCTGTTGCCTTTCAGTATCCACAGAATAAAATTCAAACTCTGACATTCCAAAATCCTCCCCAATCTGACCCCCTGTAATTACACAGGGGTTTTTCAGCATTTAATAATATCCCAATAAATCTTTGAATCCTCTTTTTTTAACATCTTCCTGCAAACACTCGGTCAAGGTTTTTCAATCTGTGTAACTCAAACAAAAGCAACGTACATTTAGACGTAATTCCTTACTGAACTTGATCGAACTGTGGAGAAACTGGGTTCTGGCATGCAATTCTGTGGGCCGTTTTCCTGTTCCGTAACTAATACTTCCACCAGAGGGCAGAAGAGGTGAGAAGTCAAAATAGTCATTTTTGATGTTAACTATTAACTTAACTTAAGCTATTAACTGGCAAAAATGGGAGGCGCTGAAAAAAACTGTAATAAAGTTTTAACTTCTGCTCATACCCACAACTGAAGAGATGCCTGGCACAGCAGAACGACCTAAGCAGCTGCTTCCATAATTTACCATCCATATTCATCAGACCAGGACTTAACCAGAGGGCAGGGATCTTTGTTTACTGACCTACTCCCAACACCCCCAACCTGCCCACCTGGTGGGAGGTATTCTAGTAGTGATCTGGGGCCCTATAGGGTGCTGGCATCCCAGTTTCCCCATTTTCTTGATGGAGACCTTGGGGAGGTTATTTAATTTTTGTGCCTCTGTTTCTTCATCTGTATTACAGAGAGGGGTGAAAATTAAACGAGATTAGCAAAAAACTTAGTTTAGGACAGTGCCTGGAACAGAGGAAGGGCTTAATATATATTATTAAAGAAACAAGTTTTGTTAAAAGCAAAAGCTACAAAATACTATTCTTTCCCTCGCAGACTTAAAAGCTGCAGTTTGGAGAAAGATAATTTACTTGAGTTATGAGCCAAGCTTTGAAATATATTTTAACAAATCTATATTTACTTCAAAGCATGACACTTCAGACAATAAGGTTTTTTATGCAAGAAGGAGGAAAAAAATCCCTGTAAAGTACTTAGAATCAGGCCCTTCACCCAGTCTCAGGTGCTAGCTATTATTATAAGGAACTTAAAAACCGTTTGGCCTTGTGCTTTAAAAGGCACCAAGTTACGAAATGACTTCTAGGAAGCATTGTGATAGCAAACTGGAACTCTTGTTAATTGGAGAAAACTTTATTACTTGTGCTTGGTAATAGTTATGTGGTCTGTGCCAACTGGTGCTGCCCCGCCAGTGGGGCTTAACTTTAGTCCATATTAATTTATCCTAAGATGAAACGAGCTCTGACCACGTTAGTGTGGGGCCCCGAGGAAAAAAGAGATCAAGGGGACGGATCCCGGAGACGAAAACGCCAGGGAAAAACGGCTTCCTTCTTAAAGGAGCAGACTAACGGGGTGCTCGACGGCCCGGGGCTGCAGAAGGAAAAGTGAAGCCAGGCCAAAGAGGCCGTGGAGGGGGCGAGAGGAGAGACGGCCACGGGGAAAGAAGTACCAAGAGGAACCGCCAGGAAGTCAGCCTCGCTTCCGGTGCGCCGAGATTCTCGAAGGACGCGGTGATCGGGAAGCCCGGGGTCTCACACACCATGTCCCCCGGGGACCCCGTCTCTCTCCGTGTTAGGCAGGGAAGAGGGGAACCGTCCGCTCAGCTGGAGCCTGCCGTACGAACAGCGCCGAACACGCTCCGGACGGCCATTTTGTAACTCGAATCTACCCCCTCGAAACCAATTCGAAAAAAAAAGGGAGGAAAGAAACGCCCGCGTCCAGCTACTGCGCAAGCGCGCCGGGGCCCGGCTCGGCGGCACCATCTCTCGCGGGCAGCGGGGCGTCACGCCGCGCATGCGCCCGGCTGCTCGGAAAAAAACCGTCGCCGGGGCCTGCGCCCCAGCCTCACGCATGCGCGCGCCGGCCTCAGCCGGGAAGCCGGCGCCGGAGTTTGCAGGCGCCGGTCACGTGCCGGCTGCTGTTTGCTTTTGAGGCATTCGCGCGCGGCCGGCTTTTGCGAGGCGCTCGCGAGCACGGTCATTCAGTGAGCGTGTCCGAGGCTCTTGCTGTTGCGTGTCGGGTGCCGCCGGGCCGAGGAGAGACAGGCCGCGTGCGGTACCGGAAACGTGAGTGCAATAGAGATAGCGTAACGTCGGGTGCGCGGCGACGCCACCGCGTCCCCGAGGGCCCGGCTGTGATCGCCCGCGACGTGCTTGGCGGCTGAGTGGTCGGGAAGGCCCGGGATTGCGGAGCCAGGAGGGATGGCCTCGGTCGTGGAGGAGAAAAAACGGCCCCATTCACCCGACAGCTTGTGTGTGTCTTCCGTGGCGGCAGCTCTCCGGAAGTAACTTGCCCCAAATTGCGCAGCTGCTTAGGGTCGACGAAGAAGTTTGCAAACGCGTTTTTGAACTGCGGAGCTAATGTATGTGTCCAGTGTCGGAATGTGTGTTCTTGTGCTTTTATTTCATATTTTACGGTGTAGCATTTCAAACAGTAGGTACATAAAAAGCAGCTCAGTTTTGCCCGACCCTCCTTGCCTAACGGAGAGAATATTAACCATTAGACACTATGAGACCGATCGATGATTCACTAATTATTAAACTTGTTTCAGAAGAGGAATATTCTTGGAGCTCTGGTTCTTAACATTTGGCAGAGGGGTGTTTTTGGATATACTTGAAGATGCAAAGAAAGTTTGTGCAAAACCAGTTTGCCAATTTCAGGGTGTTTATAAGCCCTTCCTAAAATCCTATCCATGGACCCCTTATCTAGAGACTAGATTGAATGTGTAAGGGTTAAAAAAAAAGACACCCCCCCACATACATTTAAGATAGTCAGATTTATTCCCTGCTATTGTTTCCTTCCCCTAAGACAAGAAATCCAAAACATAAATGTTGCCAGGTGTTTGTTCTTTTTCTGAGATAGATGTGAAAAGAAACACCCAGCCAGGGAACTATATTAGGTGTTGTATACCTTTCACAGCCCCTTCGTGATTGGATGGAATTAGGTGAACTGTGCATTAACTAGTTGGAGAATGTTGACTAATGGTATATTGCAAAAAGGGAGATCTATAGTGGCAAGGTCTTCAGGGTTTTTGTTTTCATCAACAGAAGGAGAGCTTATAATACAGACCCTTCAGGATGATACGTAGCTTGCCAAAGCCATCCAGTGAGTGGCAGAGCTGGGCCAGGTCTCACTTCCAGCCCAGCGACCCATTCCACATGGCTTTTGGACACTGCATGCTCATTGGGGACTCCGCAGATTTTTGGTGCTGAGTCACAAGCGGCCCTTCATCTCTTCTGGCTGTCCTAGGTCAACTTTTCCACACTCCACGGTGACTCCTATAAATCCTTCCCACCTAAACCTTTCTAGCCACCTTCCGCCCTGTTCCACGTTCCAACTCCACCCCTTGCCTCACCATCCTTAATACGGAATAGGCGCTCAACTAGTTACCAAAAGAAAGGACCTTTCTTTTTCTTCATTGAGAGAAACATTATCCCAGACATTTCTGAGTTCCCTTCCGACGAATAGCTTGTGAATCTTCACATTTGCTTCTGTCTGTGTGAAGCTCATTCATCTCAAACTGTTTTCTAGTGCCTTGTAAATTGGTAAGTTTTTGCTTTGAAATATCAAAGTATAATTATTAGTTAACTTGCTATTAATGTTTTCGACCAAAAAGGGGTCACATAGTAAACCTGACAAGCTCAGGGGAGGCCTGCATGGCAGGCCTTACGGACTCAGACCAGATGTAACCACATAGGATGCTCTGAACATCATAATTACTAACTAAAAGCAAGTCCCAGCAGGTAGTGGGTCCTAGGCCTGTACATTCCTGTACAAAGATCAGTCTTTACCTTAAGTGAGCCTATCTATTGTATTTTTGCCTCTAAGATAACATACCTATGAAATGTCAAGAATAATCATTTCCAGACCCCTCAGGGCACAACAGCCTGCACCAGAGCCTGTGACCCAGGAACCTCAAAGAATAATCACTTCCAGACCCCTCAGGGCACAGCAGCCTGCACCAGAGCCTGTGACCCAGGAACCTCACCGTTATCTTGTCTTCCAATGGAAAACATCTCTACGTGCTGTAAATGTTAACTAACTAACTGTCCTCTACCCACTAATGGAAAAAATGTGTCTGTATTTTCCTTTTTATCCAATCCCAGAGATTTCTCCTGTTTGGCTTTTTCCCGCCCACCCAGTCTATTACCAGTGGATTTCATGTAGCCCTCCTAACGTCACCTCCTTTGATTCTTGACATATAAAATAAGCCGCTAAACTGCCATTCTCCGAAGCGTTTTCTCTGTTGAGATTTTGCTTCCAAGCAGTCATCATCGGTTTGGCTCACGTAAACTCATAAAAATTCTCTACAGGTTTGGACGTTTCTTACCTCGACATCGTGTAGGATGTTATCATATAAGGGACACAGTTACGTAGCAATAGACTCTTCTATTCACATGTTTGATGTCGAAATGTGGCTCGTTAAAATCACAACTTTTGTTCTTGCAGTAATACAATATTTATCTAAGGATAAGCAGATTAGCACATTTACTTATTAATTACATATTGTACTATGAGGTAATTGATGCCTTTCAGATGCAAATAAAAAGTGATTTATGCATATAATAGCGCTTTAGCCGACTTGCACATTATGTGGGGGATTCTTGTGCTTACTAGAATGACAGCTTTAAAAGGGCTGTAACTCAGGAGAATTCTGGAGAACAGAGGCAGTTCGCATGCAGACCCGTACCTGACTTGAGTGGGCCTCTATGTAGTGAGGCTCTCTGTCCCTCAGTTTATGAAATAGTCATCCGAAGTGTTAGCCAGTTTTTTCTGAAACCTACTTCCAAAAATCCCTTTCAATTTTCTTAACCTCCGAGGGTTTTTATGGTTGCCAGTCTAGGTCATTTCATCTTTATGGTCAGTAAATAAATATCCAGACATGTTGGTTTACCTACTTTACCTAATTCAAAAGAAGTTTATGGCAGTGTAACTTTGCATTGTAATCTTTTCTGTGGCTAGACTACCATGACAGGAACCACCATTGTGTCCGCTTTGCGGCTGTGATCAAGTCATAAATGTCTCCGATAATTCAAGCCTGGTTTACCCTAGTAAAGAAAATTGCAAGATGATATTTGTTGAGTTCCAGCTGCGTTCTGGCCTTCGCTGGTGGTGAGTGTGAACCCTGAGACTAGAATCATTCTCTGTTTGGATCAGCGGAAAACACCCAGCAGTAGGGAGCCTCCAGGACCACACTGTGTTCCCAGTTTAAGGAATGGAGATCGGCGGCGTTCTGACGCCGTCCAGCAGTGGTGCTGCCCGCCTGGAGTGGCCTGCAGGAGGTCCCAGCTAAGAGAAGTTGGCACCTCTTGTTTCTGGAGTGACCTCTTTGAATCAGAAAGGAAGTTTTGATTTTGGGTCATCTGGTGACGATATCTGTGCCCTGTGCGAAACTATCGGTTTACCTAAAGAAAAGGAAAAAAAGGTTAGGACAAATGGGCAGAGAGCGTGCAGTGCCGAAAAGAATGTCACATGTCACCGCTTTTCTCGTTCTCCAGGTGTTCACGAATATGGCTTTGCATACTGATAAAATGACCTCCAAGGTCAAGAGACGTTGAGCACCGAGGCAGCAGAATGAAGAATTTGGGGTCCTTCTTACCAGCCCACAGAGCATGGGATTCTTACATGGTCGTGCCACAGGAACTCAGGAGTCCGTGGAAGATTCACATTTCCCCAGACCGAGTCCGAGAGCCGGAAGTGCAGTGGCCGATGCTGATTTCACAGGCACTCACCGAGTCTTGTTTCCTCCCAGGATTCTTCTTGCCTGAGCTTGAACCTAGCAGAAAGTCTTCCTCCTGTAGTTGTTGAGGAAGCAAAGGTTCGCCAAACTGAGTGACGGAAGGAGAATGAATAAAGTAATATAACATGGTGATTAAGTACATGAGCTTTAAAATTAATGACCCTGAATTTGATTCTTAACCATGCCGCCCACCAGGTGGGTGGCCTTGGACAAGCTGGTGAACGCTTTGAGCTCAGTTTCCTCATCCGTAGCTGAAGGTAATAATAGTACCTTCCAGGGCTTGTGAGGATTAAATGAGAACATTGGTGTAAAGCACACTGTAAGGGCTCAGTAAACGAACCCTTGCTATTAAGATAATAGCCCCTGGGGTGGCTCCATAGTGTAGCAGTTAGCATGTCTGCTTTACACGCAGAAGGTCCTGGGTTCGCACCCCAGGTGGAGACACGGATCATGCCCCAGGTGCACATGGCGAGTGTATGGGAGGAGACACCCTGCCTTCAGACATCCAGTTCTTTAAAAAAAAAAAGCAACATCCGTAGGTCAGGGGTGGAGGGGGAGAATTGAAGAGAGGGGAAAAAAAAGATAATAGCCCCTGTTTTTAAATTCCTTGCTGTTTCAAGCCCCCCAACACTATGAGAGGCTTTTAATTATCTTTTTTTCGGAATGGGATTCTTGCTTTAAAATAATTTATTTGTTTTAAAAACTTTATGAAATGACCATTTAGTTTCCCTTTACTAATCAAAAATGTAACTGACATTCAGAGGTTTTTACCTCCGTCTCATAACTCGTGATCGCAGTGAGTTCTTGTGATTTCAGCTAAAAGGGAAGAATGTGATGTTCCAGCCGGAGCCCTTTTACCGCGAGTGAGATTTGCAGTAGATGATTTGCAGTAGGCTTTTTGAGACGTTGCCCAGGGGTCGAGGACTCCGTTCCCCATCACATATTCTAGACTAGACCTTTCTCATTCTCAACACATTTGGCTTCGTAACAAAAAATTAATTATGAAACCGGCATTCGGCTGTATTGTCTCTAGACTTTGAGCAGCGCATGACTTATTTTGTCCTGGAGAGTCCAATCTATTGGTCACTCAATATTTCACAACTTGTATTTGTCATATTTCAGGCTTCCGTGCAAAAGGATTAAAACCAATGAATAAATTTTCTAGCGTTATTTACTCTCGAGGCTTTCCAGTCACTAAAAAAGCAGTAACAATATGTAGTATGTTTTTTAAAAAACTTCAAGATACTGCGAATTATATAAAGTAGCATATTGTATCTTTTTTTTTTCTGAGAACAAAATTATCTGATAAATAAGCTGTCAAAAGACATTACGGGCCAATGATGGCAGAGGCAAATACCGTAAGGTCCAATGAGACAGAAGCCACCACAGACAGAAGTGATCAAGGGAGTATTCGCAGCGCTGGGGCTAAATGACCTCCAAGGATGAATGGATTTTGTGTAAATGGAGAGGAGGTGGGGGTGGCGATGCGACAGTGTGAACAGGAGGGGGAGGTAGGAGGGAATGAGGTGTGTGAGTCTCAGAGAAGGAAGTATGGCGACTACGCGTATCTGTGAAGAGCCAGCCCGCTGGCCCTTCCACCCACTCCGTGTCTGAGGCCTTTGGAGCGTGACCTTGTTCTCCTTGGTGGTTGCTTGCACGTGTGAGTGCTTAGCAGTTTTCCGGCGCCTCTGTGTGCCAGCAATTTTCTAGGTGCTGTTGAGTATAGTGACGGGTCTTCCTTTAAGGACTCGGAGGGTCAGTGTGAAGAACTGTCAGGCCTGTTGGGAACCGGGCTGCACAGCAGGAAGTGAGCAGCTGCGAGCAAGCGAAGCTTCATCTGTATTTGCAGCCTCAGGCTGTGTTTGGCACTGGGACCCGTGTTCCTATGAGAATCCGACGTCTGACAATCTGAGGCGGAGCCGAGGCAGCGATGCTGGCGCTGGGGAGCGGCTGCAGATGCAGACGAAGCTTCAGTCGCTTGCTCGCTGCTCGCCTCCTGCTTTGCGGCCCAGTTCCTAAAAGGCCACGAACAGGTCCCGGCCCACAGCAAGTACCAGCCCGCGGCCAGGGGGTTGGGGACTCCTGTACTTAAGCTAGCCCACAGCCTTCCTGCACCTGCCATTGCTTCTCTGTGTTGACCTGCTTGCTTCTTTACCCTCTGATCCTTTACCTGCTTCCTTTTGTGTCTGGCCCGCTCTTAACTCTGAGCCTTTTCTCCACCTGTCCACCCCTTTCCTCCCATCCTAGCACCCCCTGCCGCATAGTTTTTCTTCAGGTGTGTGACTTTAATGGACCCTATTGGCAAGGAAGGGGAGGGAAGTAGAAGCCCGGTGCCCATTTAGCAATGTCCAAATACCCGTGATGATGTGATTGCCGTACGATCTTAGGTTGCATTAATTGGAGTATAATGTTTACAACAAAGGAGGTGGTCTCTTCCTACTCTGAGCAATTGAGACCACACTTGGAGTTGGCACAGGAAACGGAGCATAAAGGGTCGAAGTTCAGAATGCGGGGCTCTGGAGACAGGCTGCCTGCCTTTTACTTCTAGCTTTGTGGCCTTGGGCTGTCGAGTTTGGGGCATTTCCAAACTCTCAGTCTGCGTGGGAGCGCTGACCACGTTATATGTTCATGAGATGTCCCTTCTTCCCAGTGTGCCCCTGAGCACAGGGCTTTGTTCGTCTTTAAAGCCAGTCTGCTCAGGCTGCCAGAATAAAACGGGCTGGGTGGCTTAAACAGCAGACACTGACCTCGCAGGTCCTGAGGCTGGGATTCCGAGATCAAGCTCCAGCAGGGCAGGTCCCGGTGAGAGGTCTCTTCCTGGCTTCGTAGAGGGCTGTCGTCTGGCTCAGTCCTCCCGTGGGCTTTCCTGGGTGTGCACTGAGCCCTGAGGGAGAGGGAGCAGGGGACAGAGGGGAGACCTCTCTCTGGTGTCTCTTATAGGACACTAACCCTGTCAGGTCAGGTTGCCACCCTATGACCTCATTTAACCTTACTCCCTTACGGGCCCTGTCTCCATGCAGTCACAGTGAGGGTTAGGGCTTCCGCATATGGGGCTGGGGGCGCACACAGTTCAGTCCATGGCCTGGGGTCATTCAGGGCTTAAATTGATTTGGGGAAAAAGTCTCAAAGGTTCTCAGAAACACCAGTCTCTGCCTAGACATGAACTATCGGCAGGTAATTCTGTTTTAATGAAAAGATTTTGAATAAAAAGTAGGTGTAGAATATCGAAAACCATAGCCAAGGGTGGAATGAAATAACGGGGGGCTACAGAGCTATGCAGTCCTGCGTGCAGAGCGCCTGCCCTGAGCTGAGAGGCCAGGGCACCGCAGTCACTGTGGTTGGAATGTTCCAGAAGAACGTGTTGCATTTCAGATGTCCATAAAGGCAGTGAACCACCCAGTCTGTGATTTAGCTGGATTGTTCCCTTAATTGTTTCGCACTTCAGATTCTTTTTTTTTTTTTTTTGCCAGCAGAGCTCAACTTTTGTCATAGACTGCCAAATGCAGAATAAATTTTAATATTTTTGGATAAACATGTGAAAAGAAGATCTCAGAGCATGTTATAAAGACAGACTAAAGGGGGGTGAGCTACTGGGTGTAATTAGTTCCATATTATGGAGACTAATGACATTTTGATTTAGCATTTCACCTTCGAGAGTTTTAATAGTAAAAACCAATGCGAGAGAAGAGTAATGGAGAGATGAGCATTTAAGACGCAAATAATCAATATGACAGAAGAAGCCATGTGCTGAGAATTCAGAGGCCTTAATAAGTTAGGGCGCAGTCTACACCGATTCTGTTTAGATTCTAGATGGAGGTAGTCCCGATAGCCATAGCGTTGGATGGTTCGAGTTTTCAGATGAAACACAGCACCTGGGAGAATTATAATGTGAAGTCCGAGGATGTTGCGCGGTGCACGTGGTTTTCACAGGAGGCCGGGGAGGGCATCGGGGTCGGCATGCTGGCTTTCCTCCGCGGCGTGGTCGTAACCTCACTGTGTGTGGCGCCCGACGGTGGGGTCTGTGAAACGGTGACCGGCGAAAATGAAGCGGTCGCTGCGCATTACAAAACAGGAACCCTGACAGTGTGCCCTGGAAGCCGCCAGAGAACCGCACCGGTCCGCAGCGGAGGCGCCCACGCCCTCTAAGGCCCTAGCGAGGGATCGGACAGGGAGCCCACGCGAGTGGCGGACTGAGGGCCTCGGAGCATCATCGGAGCATCATCGGCGCATCCGCTCCACCCTCCCGCCCGGCGCGTGTTCGTCCTGGTCATTCCTCCGCCCCGGCGCTGAGATTTTCTTCTGTTTCCATGGTTGACATTCACTTCTGACTTATCTGAACTTAGTATCTCCCCTCCCCTCTAGTAGTGACGAATCCCAAGACCCGAACGCTCTTTAACCCGGCCCCCGATGGTCTCCCGAGCCGGCATTCGTTGCTTCTGCCTCGTTTGTATGTTCTTCAGTTACGATTGCTGTTGTTTGTAAACACTCGCTGCTGATTCAGACCTACCACATACTGCCAGTTACTTGGTTCATCAGTTTGCCTTATATTTCCTTCTTTCAGCTGTTTCTTTCTGAAATAAATCTCGTATTTCTTTTGGGGAAAATATAGTGACATCCTTTCATTCTCAAGAAAACACCCTCTCCCTCTTTGTCGTATTGACACTTAGCTGGGAAAGCAATGCTAGGTGGACATTTATTTTCTCTCAGCAGAAAAATCTGATTCGATTCCTTTCTAGAGATGACGGTGCGCCATAGCCAGTCAGTGGGGGAACCGAGGCTCAAACCCGGGTCTATGGGACGCTAGAGCTGACGTTCTTAGCCAAGTCCTTCGTGTTCGAGGTCACCAAATAATATACCCTTCGAACAACAGCAAAGTCCACTGTGTATCTACATCATGACAACACCCAAGCAAATCTTAAAATACTCAGTTCCGCAGACATTTTTTGCTAACGTCCCGCATGCCGAGCTACATGGAGGATACAGTCGGACGCCGTTGATTGATGGAGAGACACACAGGCCCTTCCGGTACGGGGGCGATAGTGGCGACATCGACTGATTACACTTCAGTGTCCCGGCCAGTGATCCAGGTCTCATGATGCTCGGAAATAGAAAGCACGCGAGGCTCTCTTGAG